GCTGGCCCCGCTGTCGGCGGTGGATCTGGTCCCACGGGCCGTGGAAATTAGTCCAGCCCCAGTCAAGGTTGTGCGGGTTGAATTGGTGGCACGAGGACTGCATCCAACCCGTGCGAGGCTCGTCCGGGTTGTACAAAATGACACCAATCTGTGCCGACACTCTCCAGGCATCCTTTGGAGGATCTTGCTTGCTGGCGGCCGCCGCGGGATACTGTGCCGTGAAATTCTCCAGCCAGCTTGCCGAGTCTTCGGTTCGGGCAAACTTCATGTCCACCTCGGCAGCGGCGTTGTTGAGCCCCGAATCGGCCGGTCCCCGCAACACTTTGAATTCGGTCTCTGGCAATGTCTTGTCGGGCTGAGGCAAGGTCGGGGAGCATTCGATGTAGATGCTCAGAGAACCCACGTTATTACCACGTGGGAAAAACTTGATTGTCCACCAGTAACCGCCGATGTAAGCAGGAGGGGAACGCATGATCTTGCTGCGGTTGGGCGCGTCTTTGGTCCCTCGCACGCCCTTGATCTTCCATGTCAGGCGGCCTTTTTCAACGGGCCGATACTCTGGATCATCGAGATCTGGGTGGAAGTTCTTCTCCCAGTAATCGTCTGCGATGGTCAGCATCTCCAACTCGGTTTCGTCCTCGAATCATAAAAATTCGGAGGAAGACCTACACTCGTATGCACTATAGTCCCCATCCGCTGTCGACTCGATTTCCTTCATCTCCGCCTCATCAGGTACCGACGTGTCCTCCTCAATTTCGGCCCAGTATGCATGTTCGAGCTCAGGTTGCGGCGGTTGGGGCGCAGGAGTTGGATCTGATGGTTCATGTGACTGTGGATGGACATTCTCTAGCGGAGTATTTGCAAGGATCTCTGTAATGTTGTTTTCGCTGGTAGGCTCCGGAAGCTCTGTGCCAGCAGTGACTGTCTCTGACGAGGGAGCATCGACACTCAGTGTGACGGCAGGGGGGAGCTGCTCCACGGTAACCGCGGTATCCATGCGAGTATCCATTGCGGAAGAGGGTGAGACTCGTATGTACGCAAGAGGCTATAATCGAGACAAAAGATCGACAGAATATAGCATAAAAAGATGACAAGGTGCCTGAACAAGTACTGCGTCTAGCAGGTCAGAGGCTTATATAGAGGAACGACGCATACAATACACAGATCACTGATAAGTGTAGGATAATATATGAAGCGAGAGAATGAAAGACAATGAAAAACACAACGAGAAAGAAAGAAGGACAGGTCAAATACAGAGTAAGAGACCTGGGGGATAGATAGGTAGATGATTTCCCGATAAGAGACAGCAGGCGGTGCTTATCAGGGCGATCAGTGGGTTGGTTTGTTGGGGTAAGAGAAAGAGAGAAGTGAAGAGAAGAGAAGAGGATAAAAGGAGGTGAAGAAGGGTGATAAAAAGAAAAAGGATCAAAACGAGGAAAAAGAAAAAGAAAAAGGAAAAGAAAAGGCGAACCAAGAGACAGCAGCACCACAAAGCTCCGTATACGGATACCATGTCCATGCCTTAGTCTACCCCGTGAAGCTGCTCCCTGTAGAAAATGAGGCGGCAATGCAGAGCGTTGTTCTCCCCCTCACCGCCGAATGATGGGGACAGCCCCCCCGACCTTTGACCATTAAGAATTCAAATGGCGGATCAGCCTCTGACTTGGTCGTCCTTTATTGATCAATAGGTAATGAAATTAATTAATGATATGAATGAATGAATGAATGAATGGAAATGCGATGACTGCCTAATGTGTTGTTGATAGCCTAGCCTCTAATAGAGGTATCTCCTCTATCTCTATGTCTACCTACCCTACTCGTGGTTGTCCTCATCAGGAACATAGGTACAGTACAGCCTTCCTCGGTACAGTAGGAATAGACTTTTCCCTATTCTTTTGGCTTTGCTTTTACCCTTCCGCCTATCCCCCTGGCCATGCCTGTCTTCTCCCGCCCTTCCGGACAGTGTGGCAAATCAACTGGAGCAATCAACTCCTGCGCCTGGAATGGTCCAAACGGGGCACGACGATCAATCTGTGGGACAGCCCATCGGCATTCAACTCTCAAACTTTTTTGTGATTTGTCCACCAGACTCAAGATTCTCACAACTTCGCCTCAAAAAATTTAATCCAATGCTCTGGGTCGGTAGTCGATAGCCGGTATTGGTGTTCCTCTTTTCTCCATGCCGATGCCGCTCGAAAGTCGACTACCTTATGGGACAAAAGAACGGTTCGCCACCGCCGAAGTTTTCTAGAAGACCTTGGGTGGACGGATAATTCTTCATGTGGTGGGGTTCCTTCTGTCAGAATGCCCTATTGGGGAACTCTGATCGCCCCGGTAGGGTCCTGAGTTGAAACAGGAGAGGCAAGTTCAGGAGCAGCGGAAGAATGCCCAGGGGAACTTGAAGCGATCGCAGGTCACCCACCAAGCATTATTCAGTCTAATGAAGATCTGATGAGGGGTAATATCGGATCACTGACTCGCTGACTCTCATCCTCATGTATCATTGTCTTCTCAGTTGTTGTTGTCCGAGTCTTCGGCCGATGGAGTTGGGCTGGACCGGGCAAAAGAGGCGGCCACTATCATCGGGAAGACCACCGTTGCTTCCGCATACACCTTAACCGCCTTTGCATCGGCCTTAATTTTGCCCCAGCTGACAGCCTCGTCCGGCCGGGCACCGGCGTCGCTGCCATCAAATTCCTGAGCGGTGTTGATGTAAACTGCGTGCTCAGCACCATTACGCATTAAGCATGCATTAGCAATGTGGTGTTTAATCACACCACCTCCGAGAATGATCATTCCTGCACGGGCTGCCCGCACGGCCATGGTGTTGATACGGCGTACATCGTCGACAATATCCACACGCAATCGCTGCGGGGAGGATCGATAGGTATGGAAGTACAGCATGTCTCCAAGCGAACCATCTGTGAGTGCCGGGCAGAAGATTGGGATGTTGTTCCGTGCCGCCCAGTAGAGTACCGAGTCCTCATTGTCAATTTCACGTCCCAGGCGTTCAATAACGCGGCTGGGCGTCCAGTGTAGCTCATCCTCCTCGTCTCCTGTCCGGAGGGCCTTTTTCTTCGCCTCTTCCTGCTCCTCTAGCATCTTGTCGAGGATGGGAATCAGCCAGTCCTCAAACGCGCAGTAATTGCTGTTCGGAACGACGAGGTTCCCTATCCGGTTGAGTCCTTTGGCCCGCAGCCCGGCGCCTGGTGTCGAGAAGCTACCCATGTATGTGGGAGCCAGGCACTTGATCAGATCCTCCTCGACTCCTCCAGCTGTGGTAACGATGGCGGAGACATGGCGATGACGGACGAGATAACGGATGGTGTCGCGTAGACCGGAGGAGATAAGATTAGAGGTATATCCGAGGAATATCGTGGTTTTCTCTCCTGTTTCAGGGTGACGATATGCTCGCTGTCCACATCAGCACGCGCTCATAGCTAGCAACATAAGTAATTCATTTTACCATGTCATTGATAATACGTGTAGCCTCCGCGACAGCACTTCCTTGAAACCCCATATGCACCATGTTGTCGACCATTTCCGCAACAGTAATATCTCGTCCTTGGAAACGATCAAAGTCGACGCCGCGGACCTCGTGTGACCCTTCGGGGACGGGTTCGGAGGCGACGAGAACGGCATTGGTGGCAGATGACGGAGGCAAAGCCTCTGCTGACGCTGAGTGATTGTTTGTCATCTTTGAGGAGAAGATAGAAAAGTTATGCGGAGTTGTTGCTAGAATCTGAGCTCTAGCGGGGGATTTCGATCTGTGACTTGCTTTTTTTTCTTTCTTTTCTTTGGCATAGATGGCGGGGAACAATCCTTTGTTTCAGGCACCAAAACTAGGTTGCGCTTGGATGCCTCAGGAAACTTGGTTAGGAAGACTCTAGCCGTTTATGGACTAGCTCCAATTTAGCCAGGATCAACTCATTACATTTCGAGGATGCCTGAGGCATACAGACAGGTGGGCTGTACTGGCCTCAGGCACCAGCTCTAATTATTCCTAGATCCAGGTCCAAGGCTGAAGGCAGAGGGCATCCTGCTGCCCCATGGTTTTCATCTCTGGTGATTTTTCCTCCTGTCTCAACCTTGTCGTTTGCCTGTTTTGCCTTGCGATCTAATGCATGTTGTATCTCCATTTTTCATGCTCAGCGAGCTCAAGTGAAGAATTACCTTAGTTCATCTGCAAAGCTCGGCCCTCTTGTCTTCGTCAACTCAACTCCTTGCAGCTGTCTACCACTATTCTGATTGCTGGAAGCGTGGAAAGGTACGACGCCTGTTATTGTCATTACTCATATCATTTGCTGCTGTTTATTCTTGTCCTCGATTCGGTGTTTGTTTGATCATTCTAAATCCCGACGTTGTCGATGAGTGCTTCGACCAAGTCAAGGTCGAGGTCACGTCGTGGGTGACAGCTGAGTTTGAAGGGACGGGTCCAGACAGATAACTGTTCTGGGATTATCGTCCTGCATATTGAATTTGCTACAGGGGTACATACAGTGGTTGCAAGGTACCGTTGCTGACTTGGTTTGTGGTTAAAAAAGATTTCGCGAATCGTGACTCAGGACCCTTCTTGACATCCCTTGACGCCGTTGAAAGTTGAGGCCGATCCACGCCTCGATCGCTAACCCAGACATCTGAAACATTTAATTCCGCGCCCCCTCCAGTGGCTGCCGCTAAGCACTCGATCGTGGGACATTTGCTGATTGCTCCTTTTCTGGGATCGGCCCCGATCCGGCCTGGTGCACGTTTACGTAAACATTTCAAGGTGGTCCGTGCTGTGTGCACGCTCTTCACGATCACGTGCCTCCCCACACCAGTTCAGGTGGCCTGAGGCCTCACACTTGGTCATTATAGGGTCGTTTCCAATTTCGGCTTGTTCTCGCCTCCCTTTGAATCAGTGAAAGTCTGAAACAGGCTTTTGTACAATCTCACACCTAACCTGCTGCAGGCTGCCTGCCAGGTTACCTTCTTCCAACCTCTTTAGTTATGACCTGGTGATGTCTTCACGATATCCTCCATCATCTGGGTTCAATTCCCGTGACCGTTCTCCCCAGCGTTTTGGTGACCGTCGCCCTCCCGCTGGCCCTCGTGGTTCCGACGATGCAAACTTGGCTCCATTGGGCAGAGAGCCCCCTCGCGGCCCCAAGGCCCTGATCGATCATCCTCGGGGAGCTCCCTTTGGTGGTCGAGGTCGAGGCTTCCCTGGTCGGGCTGAGTTTCGCGACCGCGACCGCGACCCTCGGGATCGGGACAGGGAGCGAGATCGGGATTTTCGAGATCCTCGCGATGGACCCCCGCCTTTTCGTCGAGATATTGACCGGGACTGGCCCCGACGCGAGCGAGACTTCGATCCTCGAGATTCACGGATCGGTTTTGGCCGTGGTCGCTCCCGTTCGCCTCCGCCTCCGCCGCGCGACTTCCGTGATATGAGAGAGCCAGTTGGGCGCGACTCGGATATTGTTCGAATGCGGCGTGGCTCGCGAGATAGCTTGGTGTCGGTTTCGTCGAATGCTCCGGATGGTCCGGCCCTTGGTCCGAATCATCTCCCCCGTGGTGGCCCCATGCGTGGCCGTGGTCGGGGAGACTGGGAGGTCGGTCGGGGTCGCGGTCGGATTCCGTACCTGGACGATCGGGACTCCTTTCGCCGGCGGAGTCGTTCACGAGATGGCAGGCGTGACTGGGATCGTGACCGAGAACGCGACAGGGATCGCGACCGTGAAAGAGAAGTCAGAGATCGAGTCATGGACCGGGAGCGCGAACGGGAACGAATCGTTGACCGGGATCGCGATCGGGATATTGACAGGCGCGACCGTGAAAGAGAACGGGACATAATTGATCGACGGGATCGGTTCGAACGTCGCGACGATTTGGACAGACGGGTCGATCGCGATGAGCGGGACCGACCAGCAGAAGCATGGAAAAGAGATCAACTTCCAGCTCGAGCTGATGCACGTACCAGCTCTGGACCCCACCCCTTCGCGTCCATGGGCCCTGTCCCTGCAGCCTCGGATCGATTACCAGACCATGCGATCGTTGAACCGCCCCGTAAACCTCCCATGGCCGAAGCTCGTCGAGACTCAATACGGCCTGATTTGGCTGCATCGCGCCCAGATCCGGTTAAAGAGCTACCATCACTATTACCGATCAAGCGGTCTCCCCCTCCAGCGGCCCCTCAGGTACCGGCCTTTGGGTCAGTCACCGCGCCGATCCCCGATCTGTCTGCGGACAAAGTGGCCATCGATACAATTTCGGCTGAGGTTGCTCCGTCAGTTGCAGAGAAGGAACGCAATGAACCCCCGTCGCGTGCGCCCGTGCAACCTCCCACGGGTCCGAAAGCAGAGCGCGCCTCCGTCCAACCGCCACCAGAACCAAGATTTCGACGAGAGGAGATACGCCGCGATGAAGGCCCGGAGACGAGCGAAAAGGATAATTCTATACCACGCGCACCCAGAACTCACGCCAGCCCTTCTCTCCACGCGCGGAAGCAGACTCCAGAACTCTCACCACCGACTGCACCTGCGGCCATGATTGGCAAGGAATTAAGCACACCGCATGCAGAAGCGTCGTTGACCAGCAGGACAGGGAGTATAGTCAGTTCTCCCGAACTGAGCAAGGCTCGCACCCCTTCGATCGGTGCGACGTCACCCGGTTTGCACATTCCTACAGGACCTCGCGCCCTGCAGCAACGATCGACGCCGACTCGAGGGCCTCCGAAGGGTAAAGCGCAGTGGGCTCGACCTGGTTATAATCGTCACCCAGCCGGAGCTGGCGCCGTACCACTACCGAAACGGGATTCCGTCGATGGGAAAGAGCGAAGTCTGTCCATCAGCGAGGACCCCAAACGGGAACCACCAGCTCCAGCCGATGACCATGGCAACGAACTGGAGGCGGGTGAGATTTTGCCCGACAAGGAGATCGAAGGCGACGCGCATATGTCCCCTGAACCTTTTAAGTCTGACGCAGTTCGTCACGTCACTCCTCCCCGAGCGCCAGAACCAGTTGTCGAACCTGAGAAGAAGGTCGCCCCGGAAGACAAACCCGCCATGCAGGAAGACACGCTGATACCAGACTTTGGCCGATCAAGCGATGAAGATGAAGACGAGAACGATGTATTCACGCAAGAGTACCTTGAGGAACGGAAACAAATCTTCGAAAAGGACATGAAAGCGCTCCGCGCCGAAATGCCTCCTCCACCCCTTGAAGATCCGCATATCGTTTCCCTCTTAATGCAGATCCAGCTTCTAGGAGTCCTTGCCAATGAGCAGCCTGCAGGCGAAGCCGCTCGCCCCCCTGTTCCCGCGGTCGAAGTTCCCAAGGCGGCAAATGAGGCAGAGGAGCCTGCACCTGTCGCGGTCAAGCAAGACGCTGAATTAGAAACTCCCGAGACGTCACCAAAGCTCGCTTTAGATCTAGTTCCGCCAGTGGACAGCATTTCGGTCAAAGACTTGCCATTCTTGCAGTCTGGTCCGCCTACACCGATATCGGACCTTGACGTTTACCAGGAAAATGCGGCGATACACGCTCGTATGAAGGATGTGTTCAGTCAAGAATTGATTAAACGGAGGAAGGAGATTGCCCGGAAGAACGCGGAGCTTCGCGAGGAGTACTTGTCATACTACAAGCCTTGGAGGATGCAAGTGTGGGAACTGGATCGCGCAAAGGCCAGAGCTTCCGCCACGCCAGGTGCTGGAACACCTCCGGCTCCTCCTGCTGCACCAACGCCTCCGGTCGCCGAGGGAAGACGATACAAAGGTAACAGCGAGCTCGACTTTCAGAACGCGCTCCGTGCGTCCGAAATATCTGCGCAGGAAGAACTGGAGCGCCGTCGGGGAAATAAGGCAACGGCTCAGCCAGACCTCGCCCGAGAAGCCGTCATCCCAGACATGCTCGAGCCAGGGGAGGCAAAGGCGCAGATCTACAAGGATATCAACAACTCTGTCGACCCTGCGAACGCCATGGATGTCTTTGGCTTCCTACCTCCTCCCAATGACTTCACGCCTGAGGAACACGAGATATTCACTGATGCCTTCATGGCGTACCCAAAGAAGTGGGGCAAGATTGCCGAGTCGCTGCCCGGACGGGACTTCCAGCAGTGTATCATTCATTATTACCTCACAAAGGAAGAAATCAAATACAAGGCGAAGTTGAACAAGAGATGGAGTCGTCGCGGTCGTGCTCGAAGATCCGCTCGGCCAAAGTCCAACGCTCTCATGAAGGATCTCGGTGTGGTCAAACCCGATTACGATGGCGAAGAAGAGCCCGCCCCTGTCACAGACACTGGCCGTCCGCGCCGTGCCGCTGCGCCTACCTTTGGGGACTCCTCCGCTGCTGATACGGATACCAACGGCCGCCGCGGTGCTGGAAAGGACGGTGAGCCAGGAGAGAAACCCAGCAGACGAGGTGGTCGCACTGGCACAGGTACCCGTGGCAATCGACGAGGCAAAGCTGCTCAGCAACAGCAGCAACAACAACAGCAGCAGCAGCAGCAGCAACAACAACAACAACAACAGCAACAACAGACCCTGCCCCTACCCCAGCCTCCGACCGAGATGTCGAAAGTACCGCATCCAGGCCCCCCAGAACAACCTATGCAGACCTTGCCAGTCGCAGCAGTTACCGCTCCTCTTGTTCCCGCGCCTAAACCAGAGCCACCCGAGACATTCATGGCGGGCATGACTGAAGTACCTGTACGGATCAAGGAAACGACCGAGAGAGAGATCCCCGAGGCACCTCCGCGAGCGAAGGCCGGAAGAGGTCGCCAGAGGGAAGGCATGTACGTCTTCGAATCGGCGGAACAAGACAGTTTGGGATCTGCCAGGCCAGTCGAGGGTGGCTACGGATCACTGCAACCTACCAGCTACTGGTCTGTTCCCGAGCAGCGTGACTTTCCACAGCTGCTGGCCCACTTTGGCAGAGACTTTGAGGGCATATCAAACTTTATGAAGACGAAGACTACTGTTATGGTAAGTCATCCTCCATTGCTTTACTTTCCTTCTGGCTATCGTTAATAATTTACTGACTCGTTCTAGGTCAAAAATTACTTCCAAAGGCGCATAGACTCGGGGCAGAAAGACTTCGAGGACATCGTGGCCGATGCAGAGGCTAAAAAGGCTCGTGGTCAACCGACTGGTCCATTGCCCGTGCCTAACTTTGCTTCGAAGCGACGTTATGAAGCGACACCATCGTCGATCATGCCTCGACCGCTGGCACCCCATACTGACACGGTGGCAGAGTCGGACGAGGCGCGTACGACGAAGACCAAGCATACTGCCACAGCCTCTCAACTTGCACCTTTGCATGCCCGACCTCCTCCAGAGAAGGAGCGCACTGTCTCCAGGTATCCGCCGCTGGCACAAGCCAGCAACGTACCGATGTCGACAGTGCCGATGCTTGGCGAAGATCAATCTCGGGCTATCCGATCACAGGTGGGCCTACCGCCGCGTCTGCAGGGGCCACGCCTGGGCTACTTCACCGAGGAGAGGCAGGCTCCGACCCTGGTGGCACACGCAAATGTCCGACCTCAGGAACCACCGCTCTCTGCACGCCAGACTCCTGTATCGGTATCGGAAATGGCCAGGATGGAGCCACTCCACGCACAAAGTTTCAGGACCGCAAGCATGGATATGCACGGGTCGCCGTTACTTGCAGCTCAGGGCTCGATTCCTCCGTCGCAGCAGGCGTACATGCAGCAACAGCAACAGCAACAGCAACAGCATGCGTTCATGCCAGCGCCCACTCACTCCCGCCAAAGCAGCCTTACGAAACCGCCCGGTTCGCCTGCACAGCATTTGCAGCGGCAGGAGGCGGAGGTGTCGCCCATTCGACGCGACTCCACCAGCCAACGGCCATTTTACCCGCTGCCCGGCCAGCATGCTGGACTGTCGCAGCCGCCGATTCTGTCCCCGCCCAAGGAGCCGCCACGGCCCAGTTCGACTCCACTGGAGCCCGCAGAGGCACCCCGGCAGGTGCCTGCTAAACGGTCCAACATTATGAGCATTCTGAATGATGAGCCGGAGGAGCCACAACCTCGGAAACGGTTCGCCAGCGACCAGGCCTCGTCCAACGGGCCGGGCAAGCCAGCGTCGCCCTCTCGTCCCATCTACTCCGGGGCCCATTCACTACCTCAACAGGCGCCGTCGCGTCAGGACGAGACGTTCATGGCATCCGCTGCCGCTCAAAAGCCTCTTTACGCCCCGCAGAGTCAGTACCTGCCGCCGTCGCGTGCGTATTCGGACTATCAGACCTACTCCACCGTGCCTGGAGGATCGCCCGGCCCACCGGCGAACAACGACTGGATGGCTCGGTTCGACCCGAGAGGCCAACAGCAACAGCAGCAACCTGCGCCTCCTCAGCCCCCGCAGCCGAATCGGCCGGCCACAACATTGGCAGCGCAGCCGTCGTACTCTCCATATACCTCCGGGCAATCCCATCCCGCTTCCTCTCTTCCCAACCTCACCGCTCCATCTCCGGCCCCTACACCGTCCCCGGCTCCGACTCAGCGTCCCTCGTATCCCGGATCGGTATACGCACAGTCGCCGTCCTCACACACGCAGCCAGGGCCTAGTGGCGCGCGCGATCTGGGCTCGCAGACTCAGATCTACCGGACCGCAGTTGGATCCCCCACGTCACGTCACAACTCCATCGCGTATGGCTCACGACAGGGGCCGCCGACGCCGGTTCAATCCCAAGCAAGTCTGCTTGGCCTTGGGTCTCGGCCGCCTGCGCCAACCGTGTCTGCCGCAGCCCCACCGAGTCATATGTCGGCTCACCAGACCTATCAGCAGCATGTGCAGACCATGGTCAACGGAGCCCATCAGCAGCAATCACATCGCGGTCCGCTAGGATTGAGTGCTGGCTATGGCCACAATACACCGCAACCGCAAGCACAGGCTTCCCGTGCGACGGGGCTGCCAGGACCGCCCTCTCAGTCGGCCACCATGGGCCGGTCGTATACCCCGCCGGCGATTCTACAGCCGAACCCGGCGGGCTACGGTCCTAGCGGCCCGTCGTCGGGGATGCATCCTCTTCAGGCGCGGCCGTCTGGTCCTGGAGGTCTTGGTGAGCCTCTTTCCTCTGGCCACAATCCTGGACATCAACGGGGGTACAGTCAAGGATCCAGTGGAATGCCACCACAGCATGGGCCACGCTAGTCTTCTTTGCATATATGTGAGCCGATCGGCTATGTATTGTAGGATTGTATTTCTTCTGCACTTGGGTTCTGGCTACACGTTGGATAGTGTGCCTATGATTTGTATAGTAGATGATCAATGCATGATAGCCTTTAGAAGGACGCAAAGAATACTTAATCTGGCTAGCTACGAGTAACGGGTGACAAGCATGCATGATTTGCAGATATGACAAGCATGTTGTGCAGGTCCGGCAGATAAATACCTCTAACTGAAACAACCTGAAACACCCATCGCCACAGTCCATCTTGGATTGAGATCCTAGCCTATGCCATCTACTCCAGTCCCCAATCCCACTGCAACGTTAATCTATTTAGGCATGACGCGGCTCGTGGATCCTCAAGCAAGAAAGTCGTGTGCCGGTAGCACGTAGGAGTATATAAATGTAAATGTCCCACCCCCCCAGCAATTGAACGCAACTCAATTACCTGCAGTTCAAAACGAAGGAAATGAATACCATGCACACCGCAAATCCCGAGACGATCTTAATCCAAACCGACATCGAGAAGGCCAAACTCGCTAGACGGCAGACCGAGTATGCGGCTCTGAGGGATGCGTTGAGGAGGGGGATTCCTGTCACTCACATTCCGTTTTTGGTGGCTGCTGCGTCGGCGAGCGCGCTTCCGGGTCCTGTTCCTGGTCATTCTGCGTATGCACACATGTGTCGAGGGTACGTGTACGTGTATGAGGATGGGGAGGGGGACAGGGTGTATCCGCATCTACGGGGGGGTTATCGAGGTATTTACCCTATCTTTGTTATACAAGATGATGAGACGAGATGAGCTGAGGAATACATAGTGTCGGTACCGGGACCGGAGTCGGAGGGTACACTTTCGATGACACAGAGACAGAGTGAGCGTGACGCTCAGCCTGTGGCGTACCGGCGGGTGCATCTGGATGATAGCTTCCTGCGAAGGGCGTATAAGCGGCGGTCGTGGGGTAGGGGAAGGACTGGGCTGGGAGCGGCGATGTCAACGTCTATGTCTGTATCTGGGTGTCTGTCTGCATCTGCAGCTTCTGGACAGGTATATTTCCATCATTGGGTGCCTGGGGGGAAGAAGATAAGGAGGAAGTACCAATAGTTGGTTACGACTGTTTCTTTCTGTCATGTTGCTAGCGAGGCGTTGGGCATGAATATGATATTAGTGTTCAGGAACTGCATTCATTGGACAGTCAATGGATCCTGAGGTTAAGTAGCAGAATGTATATCTCGTCTATCAATTGAAACTGCTATACAGAGCGTACAGCGGTGAGTCTATGCTACGGCAAGTGGAATAACTACAACAAGTGACCAAATGACCAACATGCAAGACATATATCTGGTTATACAGATCGTAGAATATATATATATTGGGAATAGTAGCCTTAGGTCTCCAGCATAAGCATACAAGTTGAGATAGGAAGGCATAATAGATCATTTAAGATAGATACTTAGAGTCAAATATACTTATCTACTACTTAAGTTACATAACTGGTAGTAGGATATCCGCACACAACCGAGCGGAAGAATTCCGAAATCCCGCAGTCTCGCAGTCTTGTCACGTCCTCGGGTGTTCAGCATTAACCAATCCCCATCTCCCCAAATGAATGGAGATGCAGACGGACTACAGCGACTGGACAATTCTGCAGATCCTTGCTGGGGTATGACAATAACATACACGGAATAGGAACACCGCAGGGATGATATCTGCACCACTGCGGAGGGAATGAGGGGTGACCTCGAAGGCTCTACCTATAAAGACGGTCGCATCCGCTGCTTATATCGCCACTTATACCTATATCATAGCTATAACGAACCTGATCTACTAAAGAAATATCTCATGGCCCAGACCATTGTCATTGCCGTCCTCGCGGCGGTGTACTTTCTGATCCGCTACTTGAATCGCACGGATATCCCCAAGATCAAGGGCCTTCCTGAGATTCCCGGAGTGCCTGTCTTTGGCAATCTGCTACAGCTTGGTGACCGACATGCCACCGTCGCCGCCAAATGGGCCAAAAAGTACGGTCCTGTGTTCCAAGTGCGCATGGGGAACAAGGTTAGTCCATTGACTTGACTTTATTCACCTTTTGCGGGGTGGGATCTCTACTGACTGATTCTAGCGCATCGTCTTTGCCAACAGCTTCGAATCGGTGAAACAGCTGTGGATCAAAGACCAGTCCGCGCTTATCTCGCGGCCCACCTTCCACACCTTCCATAGCGTCGTGTCCAGCTCCCAGGGTTTTACGATTGGCACCTCGCCCTGGGATGAGTCCTGCAAGCGACGCCGAAAGGCCGCGGCCACTGCGCTGAATCGCCCCGCCGTGCAGTCGTACATGCCCATCATCGACCTCGAGGCGACGGCCAGTATCAAGGAGCTGCTCAAGGACTGCCGCAACGGCGCCGTGGACATCAATCCCACGGCCTACTTCCAGCGGTTTGCGCTCAATACCAGTCTCACCCTCAACTATGGGTTCCGCATTGAAGGCAACGTCGATGATGCCCTACTCCGCGAGATTGTCGATGTCGAGCGCGGCGTCTCCAACTTTCGCAGTACCAGCAACAACTGGCAGGACTATATCCCGCTGCTGCGCATCTTCCCCAAGACGAATCGCGAGGCCGAGGAATTCCGGGTGCGTCGCGACAAGTACCTGACGTTCTTGCTGGATATGCTCAAGGAACGCATCGCCAAGGGCACCGACAAGCCATGCATTACCGGCAACATTCTCAAAGACCCCGAAGCCAAGCTAAACGAGGGTAAGTAGCTTATCCTTTCGATGTTTGCCTTTACTAAGCTTGTTACTGGCCTGCAGCCGAGGTGAAATCCATCTGCTTGACCATGGTATCTGCCGGTCTGGATACCGTCCCTGGCAATCTGATCATGGGCATCGCCTACCTGGCCTCGGAGGACGGCCAGCGCATCCAGCAAAAGGCCTACGAGGAGATTATGAAGGTCTACCCCAACGGAGACGCGTGGGAAAAGTGCCTCGTCGAGGAGAAAGTGCCCTACGTCACGGCACTCGTCAAGGAAACCCTGAGATATTGGACCGTCATCCCCATCTGCCTGCCCCGCGAGAGCACCAAGGACATTGTCTACAACGGCGCGACCATTCCTGCGGGAACGACCTTTTTCATGGTAAGTAGTCACTAACCCTATTCAGCCAAATACTGACAGGATAGAACGCATACGCCGCCGACTACGACGATGATCACTTCAAGATGCCCGACAAGTTCATTCCCGAACGGTACCTCGACGTCAGCGAAGGCTCGGGCACCCCTCACTACGGCTACGGCGCTGGATCGCGCATGTGCGCAGGCTCCCACCTGGCCAACCGAGAGCTGTACACGGCTTACATCCGCCTGATCACGGCCTTTACGATGCATCCGGCGCGCGATCCTGCTGACCAGCCGATCTTGGATGCGATCGAGTGCAATGCCATTCCGACCGCCTTGACTACGGAGCCCAAGCCGTTCAAGGTGGGATTCAAGCCCCGGGATACGTCCAAGCTGCAGCAATGGATTGCCGAGAGTGATGAGCGGACCAAGGAGTTGTAGTAGATATACACTTGGAAGTATGTTGTTGCGTAAAAGCGAGATTTATGTAGTCCATCTAGTATGTAAGCTATTATTTGACCGTCATGAAGTCCAATATTCAACAGTAGAACTAGTAATCTGTCTCTATTCAATATCGATCAAAAGTGCCGTCGATAGGACCATCAGGCACGCAGGCATACAGGCACACAGGCACCAACCCCAAGGCACTAATTCCGCTCTAGGGCGGAAACCCCGCGTTTCCCTCCGCATTCATCCTACGCAGCTTACACTTGAATCCCTTCATCATTCCTATACTACTCGTCCTGTTCAAGACGATGGACCATACTCAAATCTCTCCAGTCCCAAATACATGGCCAAACGCCCGGGACGAGGACTCCCGTCCCCGTAAACGACGGCTGAAATACATCACCAAAGCATGGTGAGCCTACTGCTCCACTGACCACAACAACAATAATAACTAACCGCATAGCAATGAATGCAAACGCCGCAAGATCAAATGCAACGGCCAATCACCCTGCCAACGCTGCGGCCGGCAACAGATCGAATGCGTCTACGCGGGGAGGACGCGGCCCGACTCGAGTGACCAGCAGTATGTCCATTGATTCATTCCATGTGAGAAATGCACATTAACAAAGCAGGAGTATGTCTCGTCTCATTGAGCAAATGTCCACCATGCAGGAGCAGATCTCGGCGCTTTCGGCTGCGGTGTATGCGCTCTCGCGACCTGGCAACTCACCGCAGGATCAGGGGCGGGTCTTCCGTCGAGCTTCGTCAACGAGGGAGTTGACCTTTCAGGGCCCGACGACCTCGGCGTTTAGTTTTGGTTTAGCTAAGAGTAGTCTGCAGCGTCGGGGGATCGTCGATGGCGACGGGGATGAAGTTGGCGAGGAAGGCGAGGAAGGAGATGTCACGCTCCCGCCTACCCGGGATGGCACCCCGCTCGGGATGCTGCAAGACCCCCTCTGGACTATCAGCAAGGCCGAGGCGGTCAGGCTGTGTCGGGTCTACGAGGAGGAAATGGGGATTATGTACCCCGTGCTGGAGCTGGAGGAGCTACTGCGGCAGGTGGAGGGTCTCTATGGACTGTCTCCACGGCTTCCCCTGCGGCCCGGGGATTACAACGTGCATATCCTGCGGCTGGTGTTTGCGTGTGCGCTGACGGCGGAGGCGAGCGGGCGCAGTGAGCTGGCCATGCGGCTGTTTGAGAGTGTGCGCGATGTAGCGGACGACTGTGTCTGGGGCCCGCCGGATATCGACCGGATTATCCTGATGACTCTGGTGGTGAGTTTTTGTTTCTGTTACAATGGCGGAATGCTAATGGTTAGGCGATTTTCTACTTTCAAATGGACGAAGAGACGCTGGCGTGGCGCACCATCGGGATCGTCGAGCGCATGTGTCTGGAAAAAGGCCTGCACCGGCGCGAGACCCTCAACCATCCGACGGTAGTGTCGGCCGGCCGCGATCGAGTCCTGCGGCTGTTCTGGTCCATCTACACGCTGGACATGCGCTGGAGCTTCGGCACAGGGATGCCCTTTTCTCTCGAGGACAGTGACATCGACCCCTGGCTGCCCGAGCCCGAGGAAAAGACCCCGTACCTGCGCGTGATGATCCGGTATAGTCGCATCGCGGCCAAGGTGTGGAAGTTCATCTCCGCCTTCAACAACACCGGAGAGCTGAAAAAGGACGAGATGAACTATTTGGACTGGCAGGTATTGCAATGGGCGGCGGCCATCCCGGCGTCGTTGCGGTTGGGGGATGACAGCTCCACGGAACCACGCAGCATCCGCCGGCTGCGCTCGCTGCTATACCTGCGAGCTAACCAGCTGCGCATGCTCATCCACCGGCCGGTCCTACACTCGGCGGGCCATATCGTGCGGTATCCGGCCGAGTGCCAGACGGCCGTGGACCTGGCCAAGGACACGATCCGCTTCATCACGCGGCTGAACGAGACGTCGGACATTTACCAGCTGCAGCAGGTTGCGTTTAACTGGTTTCTAGTGTCCGCGCTGGCCGTCCTGTTCTTGGCTGTGGTTCAGGCGCCGAGCCAGTTCAGCAGCCGGTGCAAGGAGGAGTTCTACATGGCCCTGGAGCTGGTCAAGGGCTTCTCCACGCAGTCGTACATTTCCCGGCGCCTGTGGAAATCGATCAAGAGCCTGCGAAAGCTCGGGCCGCAGGTTGGGCTCCGGCAGTCGGCTACTGATCAGCGTGTTTTGGCTGCTAATCAGACGGTGGATATGGCGCCGACCAGCAACCAGGGCCAGACACCGCAGGACGGGGCGCAGATGACGCAAGAACTGATGGACTGGTTTGAGGCCGTGGGGACGTTGGAGAACCAGATTATGGGAGTGACGCAGGTCTTTGACGATGGCAGTGGCAGGATGGCCAATGGGTACATGTATGATTACGGGGGCGATCTGTCCAGTGTCATGCGAGATTTGTTTTGAGCACTGCCATCGCATCATACGAGACTGTATTCTACAACCAATGCAATACCATCGACTGGTGACTATACCGGGTGTATCAGAGTTACACAGGCAAAGCAATCCCGGACTTCTCCCTCAACGCCTCCAGATCCGCCGCCGTCCAGTCCGTAACGAGCATATTCCCCGGCTCATGCGCAAACACCAGCCCCTCGATCTTGTCACCCGCCATCTCCACCGCCAACTGCGGCGTCACACCACACGCCTACCGTCAGTCAGCAGGGCCTGCACCTCGTACAGCCACAGATGAAGTGCAACTTACCCAAAAAACAGGCACCTCACCCTCCTCAAACACCTGCGCCTCACCCCAATCCGGTGTCTTGATATCCTTAATTCCCAACCTTTCCGCCCCGTCCCACCCCCACGCAACCGGCTCCCCATGCGTCGCCCCGTACGGCCTCGTCACCTCCCTCACCCGCTCCACATCGTCCAGTAAATACGGCCTCATCGAAACAACCATGCACGCCTCGCTGAACACGCCCGCAGGCATGAGCGGGACTGTCGTCCGGTACATGGCGACCACGCGGCCGGTAAGCTGGTGTCTAGGCGTCAAGCCAGCCTCGCACAGCGCATCCTCGAAACTGAACGAGCAGCCTAGCAGGAAGCCTACGTGGTTGGGTGTGTACACATCCTTGAGATCCTTTTTGGATGCGATGTGGCGGCCGGACTGGTAGACGCGGTACTGCGGGAAGTCGGTGCGGAGGTCAAAGTCTGGACTGGTGATGCAGGCTGCTGGGGAGACGGTGTGAGGATTGCCCTGGGGGATGATGCCGAGGAGAGGGCAGGGGACGGGGTTGCGGAGGCAGAGGGCGTGGAAGTCTGGGGCGTAGCGGGAGGGGAGGATCAGGAGGTTGGCTTGGAGGGAGCCGGGGGAGAGGCCAGAGGTGTTTGTTATGAGGTTTTGGCGGGCGAGGAGGCGGGTGGTGTATCCATTGCTTCGGTTGTCGCTTTTGCCTGTGGTGATGCTGGTGGTGGTGGTGGTGGTGGTGGTGGTCATGCTGCTGCTGCTGCTGGTCATGCTGTCCATTTTGCTAGTTGATAAGTGAAAGTCGAGGTACCTAGAGACTAGAGACAGGTATGCACCCCAGATATCACTACATTATCATATGCACAGCATGCTTCTATCTTGTGGTCATTCGCTGAATACAGATACCCCAGAAATCGGCATGTGGGCTCCGAGATAGGCTTTCCCTGGTGAGTCGGGATTCAACATCTTATCAGTTCATGCCGATCCACCGGATTGAATTGCCGCCATTAACGTTGCTTCGACCCCAATTCTCCAACAGCCACAGACTAAAATGTCTCCATCTCCACGCTGCTCCACCGTTATCACCCCAATAGCTTGATTGCGTCGGCCCGATGAGGGGATGATCGGCCCAGGAAAATGATTGGCATGGCAGTTTTCATTACAAAAGAGAATCATTGCCGTGAGCTATCTGATTCCGGGGTAGCGGACTAGCTGTTACCAATTACCGATCTGCTACTTTAAATGAGCCGGTTATAAGAGCAGTGCATCCAGATATTCTCGCTTGTCAAAGTCAGACCGTCACACGCAATGACCGAACCAGACCACAAAGCCTCCCTCCAGAAACCATCAAAAGATGCCCAAGAAGACATCGACCAGGGCATTGACATTGATTTGCAAAATGTCGTCCTCGACCCAAAAAAGGAGCGCAAGCTCCTCCTCAAACTCGACCTCGCCTTTGTCCCCATCATCATGGTAACCTACCTCTCCTGCTTCCTGGACCGGACCAACATCGGTATTTGCCCTCTCACCCACCTGTCAATCTGGCTACTGACACTTCGATAGGAAATGTCAAAGTAGCAGGCATGCCCGAAGCCATCGGCGCGTCGCCCAGCGAATTCTCCACCGCCGTCTCCATCTTCTACGTGACCTACGTGCTCCTCGAAGCCCCCTGGGCCGTGCTCATGAAGAAGCTCACACCGCGGAACATCCTAACCGGCTTATGCATCGTCTGGTCCATCACGACCGTCTTCACGGGGTTCGTGACTAACGTGCCCGCGCTCTACGCTACCCGGCTCATTCTCGGCGCCTGCGAGGCAGGCCTCTTCCCCTGCCTGAATCTGTACCTGACGATGGTCTACCGCCGCGAGGAGCAGGCGAAGCGCGTCTCGTATCTGATGAGCTGCGCGGCGATTTCAGGCGCGTTTGGCGGCTTGCTTGCGTATGGTCTGCTGCACATGGATGGGATTGGGGGGAAGGCTGGTTGGAGGTACCTCACTTTCTTCCCTTCACCTTGACCTTCACCTTGTAGGGTTGATGCTAATGCAAGATAGATGGGTCTACATCATCGAAGGCCTCTTCAGCCTCATCTGCGCAGTCCTGATCTGGTTCGGGCTCCCCAACGACCCGTCCAACGCTTACTTCCTCACGCCCGACGAAAAACACATGATGCGGGTGCGCAACGCCCAGCGAGCAGCCTACATGGGCAGCGACGAGTTCAGCTGGGCCGAGATGCGCATCGCCATTACCGACCCCAAGCTGGCATTCAGCGCCATCACGCAATTCTGCCAGGATATTCTGCTGTATGGGTTCAGCACGTTCCTGCCCACTATCCTCGCGGGGATCGGGTATGATTCGCTGATGAGCAATATTCTCACGGTGCCGGTGTACTTCTGGGCGGCGATTGTGTTTGTGAGTGTCGCCTGGGCGGCGGATAGATATAGTCGCTTTGCGATGTTTTTGCTGGTCACGAATGTTTTCGGGCTGGTGGGGTATATTCTCCTGCTGGCGGTGTCGAATAATGCGGTCAAGTACTTCGCGACGTATCTGATTGGGATAGCGACGTACACCGGCGTGGGCCTGAACATCGCCTGGTTGAATGTGAATGTAGCGCCGCATTACCGCCGCGCGCTGGAGATTGGGGTCCAGCAGACGATTGGCAATCTGGCCGGGATTGTGTCCGGGCAGATCTATCGGACGTCGCCGTATGTGCTTGGGAATTCGTTCTCGTTGGGGGCGCTGGTTGTTGCGCAGGGGGTGGTCCTGGGACATGCGGTTTATTTGAGACGGGAGAATAACCTGAAAGTAAAGATTGAGGCGGGAGAGAAGGAGGATACAAGGCGTGTTAGGACTGGGGATAAGGCGTTGGATTTTGTGTATCATTATTAACAGCGGAGCATGTCTTCGGTATACTGATGCGCTTGCGAGGGAGTATGTCAGACTACTTTGACCGTGTATATACGTGCTGCCACTATCTATTTCTCAGTATCACAGACTTACAGGTAGAGATGGTATGGACTTTACCTCAGTGTATGAGTGCGTTAACAGGACTGGTGACCATGCATGTGTCAATATTCAATGAATAAGACGACCGTGTATTGAGGATATAGATACAACAGAACTACCTTCTATCCTGCGAATCCTGCCCCAGACTCAAACTCTCATACTTGCTCAACATATCCCTCACCCCCGACGCCGCATAATTCCTCATCCTCCTGCCATCCACCGCCGCCGCATCTCTCCCCTCGCCCTTCCCCAACTTATCCAGCCCATCCTCATAATCATCCCATTTATCCGGCTTCGACGAGCGCGGATACCGCCCAAACAGCTCTTTGATTTCTTCAGGTACCTGATCCGACTCGAGCACGCGCGCCTCCTGGTCCTGCGCCCTTACCGACTGCCGGAAGATGTGAAACAGATTCCGACCTACCTGTGACCGGCACGCGATGACCGAGAATGCGCTCGTCAGGGCGAGGAAGTCACTGTCGAGAATATCGAATGATGCGTGGTCGAGCATCGTGAAAAGCGCGACCATGATCGCGTACGTCGTGAACGGGTGTGTGCGCCCGATGCCGTATTCCTCGCGGTGGACGCGGACTAGGGCGGCGATGGCACGGGCGGACGCGAGACTCTGCTCGGTTGCTTTGTCGCGGAGGTGTGTGGGAAGTTGACTGGAGGGAGGGACGGTGGTCTGGGATTTGCCTTCTTCCTCGGAGAAGAAGGTGTGGACGCCGAAGCCGTCGCGCGAGAGGCTGATCATGATGGCGTGGTAGCGCATTCTGTCGTCATATTTGTCAGTGCCCGCTAAGGTTGAAGTGGATGGGGGACTACCTTAGTAAGAGGATATGGGCCGGGGGTTTGCCGGCTGGGTCGAAAAAGTCGGGGAGCTGCGCTTCCCATTCTTGGAGTTTGTCGTAAAATTCTTTCTTTCGCTCGTGCTGGGTGGTGTCGGGTTTGGGGTCTTGATAGAGATGGTGGGAAATGTCCCTCGCGATAAAGGACAGTCTGCAAGCTTCGTCAAAGTATTGGCTCAGAAAGGACGGCCGGGGTGCTCCGCCTGTTGGATACGGAACCCATTGCTCGCTGGGCTGGCTTTCATCGCGGTCGATGCGCTTGACGCACACGCGGTGGATTTTGCTCGGTTTTCGAAAGTTGGTATGTACGACACTATGCGGTCAGGAGTCAACCGGAGCAAAACAGCAGAGCAGGGACCTACGTGTCGACCTGGAATAACCCCCAGGCGGTTCGTTGGATCGAAGATCGCATCTCCTCGGACATTTGCAGCTTGTCTAGGTCGAGATCCGGACCGTTGATGATGCCAAGGGACTCGGCCATTTCGATGGCGCGGTATAACATGGTATATCCCAGATCGTCGTCGCCGGACATGGAGTACCTGGACTGTCAATACGTGGCAGCGGTTTTGGGGAAGGGACCTACCTTTCATACAAAAGCAGCGTCGCCTGCAGAGACGCCAGACGAACACTCCTCCCTCGTTCGAGCTGGTAGCTATGCATATGTCGTTCTGCTTCGGCGAGGAAATCACTCCCCTTGGTTTTCACATCGCCCGGTATCGCATATGCCTCGGAGTATTGTGAATAATGCTGTGTCTGTCAGCAGCTCAACACAACACCAACCAACAGGGAACATACGCATGCATTGGCCAGCATGGCATTGACCAAAAACGGACTGCACAAGTCCGAGTTCGTATTCCTGGCCTGCATATGCTGGACAAACGCCCGCAAGTCGACAAACGCATAGAACGGGTAATCCCAGGTGAAATACAACGATATCAGATGCGACACCAGCGCGTCGTCATCCGTCACCGTCGTCCACGGCCTCGCAGGTACCTTGTACGGCGCCACGTCGCACAGATAGTGAATGTCCATGACCTGGGGCCGGAACGGCGGCTCGCCGCTCTCGATGCGCACCCGCATCCGCATATCCTGCAGCCGCTCGACCGTCTCCCCGTCTCGACCGGCATCCTGCACATCCTTCAGCGTCTTCTCGACGAACAGCTTCACTTCCTCGATCGCGCAGTCGGCGCGGATCATCCCCAGCAGCGTCTGCACGTGTGCGTCGTCCACCAGGCGCATCACGTTCAGCAGATCCCTAAGCAGATCCCGGTGGTAGCCGGGGTCATCCATAATCAGCTTCGTCGCGACATCGTCGACGTCGTCCTCATCGTTTTGATTCGTATTCATGGGTGCGTCTGGCCGGTCTAGCCCGGTGCAGCCGGTGCAGGGGGCGAGCTCCGTGCTCTACTCGTTGGAGACAGTCAGCGCATACTTTCTGCTCATTCATCTCTTGACGTAGTATACCCGCCTTGCTTGTGATTCCATCGTTCTTGCGCTGTTCGTCGGTCTCGTTCTCGATCAGGGTGTGGCTGTCTGTGTTGCGGTTGTTGTTATTGTTGCTGGACATGGTGGGTAAGCCCCGGGCACATTGCCCACTGCTTGTTTCGGACTGTCTGGTGTAAGATTGAGTTGAAGATTGAGCTAAAGATGCTAAAGATGGAGGCTCTGGGGACAGAGGCACGGATTCTGACCGGATCTTCTCTTTCCAGGGAAAGGAAGCAGTTGGTGCTGTGGTTCCGCGTATGATGCGTATGATGCGTAATGACGTCATTGCCTCTTCTTCTTGTTATTCGAAGATATTACGAGAACCTTGCACTGTCTCACATTCCGTCGATCTTGGAAATTATCTTCAGTAATCTGGAAAGGTTGATTGCTAATCTGGTAGATCAGCCGGATGATGGACAGGGCAGAGGCTGGTGTGGATCACCCACAGCAGTACCCATCAGGTCCATCAAGCAACAGGTATCTGACAGAAAATCTTGTTATGATTGTGATCAGACTGAGTAGTAAGTAAGATATTATTATATCCTTTTCATAGCTACAGTTTGTATGCGAGTCGGTATACTGGAAGCTGGATAACGCCACGGCGAATTGACACGGACAACATATCTTGGCAATACATAAGTGGGAAATTAAGTACTTGCATTGAATATACAAAAACTGACCAGTCATAAACTAACATTACTTGTCCTTCTTCAACAACCCCCTCAATGCCTCCGTCTCCCCCTCTAGCTTCGACACCCGCATCTTCAACTCGTCCCGCTCCCGCTTCACCTTCTCCAGTTCCGCCTCCAGCTCGTTCATCCGGTTCACCCGTCGCTGGCGATATCTGCGCGCAGCAAGGGTATTCAGCTGACGCTTCGAGACCCGGTTCGGCGGCTCCTTGGGCGGGTTGTCCTTAGCGGTCGATGCTGCAGTGATCGACACGGGCGGGGGTCTCGAGGCGGGCATGAGCAGAGGCGGAGTCAGCGTTTGAACTTGGCCTGGGTTGACTTGTGTGTCTGCTGATATCAGTATAATCCTCGCGTGAAGGCTGAAGAGACATACCTGAATCTGTCCCTGAGGAATCAATATCCAAAACCGGCAGAGAGTCATTCACATCAACAGCTGGAGTCGAAATCGCAGTCAAATCAAACGAATCAGGCGCATACGGCGAACTGGAAGTCCCCGTGGGCAGACTTGCATAATCCAGGTCACCGAAGCTAGCGAGATCGGGGGGTAGTGGTACAAAGGCAGATGGGTCGGTGTCGTAGAATGACGGGTCGGGAGCAAACGAGGCAAGATCAAGATCGGTATCCGGAAAGACAAAGTGTGGAGAACAAAACGCCGGGTTACTATCGTAGAATCCAAAAGAAGAAAACGGATGATGCGGTTGGAGGGGTCCAGGAAGAGAACTATGCGCGTTGCTGAGGCTGGAAGAAGACTGGGCCGGTCTGGCGGGCCACCTGCACGGATATGGCGGTGACCGACATTGTTCTATGCTTTAGGCCGGGTCTGTGACCCGGCGGGTTTTAGACAAATTTAAAGAAAAGGGCGCCTGGTCGTCGAGAGCGACGATGATGGATGGGAAGAAGAGAAAGACGGAGAGTAAGCGGGGGGATGGCGCTTTATAAGTTGCGGATGCACCAAATCCGCGGGGTGGGGCGCAGTCTTACTCTTAATTAATATCAGTCATTAGTCTAATAGTACAAGTCTAAAGATAGAGATTATTGAATAATTATTGGCCATTCACATTCATCCTTTCTACTCCATGCTCAGAGAAACCGCCGGTCCTGGATATAGAATAGTCAGTGGCAGATCACTAGAAGTCTCAACAGCAGACAGAAGAAAGGATATCAAGTCAGAAGATGTCGACTCGTCACTTGAAGATTTCTTCCTATGGTCATCTTCAAGAGCTTCAGAATGCCACGCATATCAGCTCGGAGGGTGTAATCATTCTTGTTACATACGGGGGCAGTATATGAGGTAATGGGATGACTTACCAGAACTATCTATCCTTGTTCCTCTATCCAAGCACGGTGTCCAATTCTTCTACTTTACTTCATTTACTCTTCTACAGCCATTCTTTATATGACATTGTCTACATATCTTCATCCAACTATCATCCACGCTCATAATGAGTCTATGATCAGCAAGATCAGACAAGACATTACTCTACTCCTCAGGCCTCACTATCATCACCATCATTCTGTATCATCCTCAGTCATCCTATAACCTCATCTTGCGTCTAACATTAGATGATAATCTGATTGGCCAATCCCTGCCTTCCGGAAACAGCTAGTCTGATGAGAACCCAGTGCCAAGAATGAGCCAAAATGACTCATGCTGACTCATGTTTTTGATTGGTTCAGCGTTTGAATCTAGACGCCGGTGCGGGGCAGATCCACTTCTCACTATTTCCTAATCGGGAATCAGACATGCTTTCCCTCGTTTGATGGAATATGAGCAGGCTGTGTTGCTTCAGTATGCATGGCTAGCGATGTTTTAGGAAAAGCCATTGCAACTAGATGCTGTCTGTCATATACCCAGCCCCCTTTTCAATATCATTTCGTTGAGTCCTCTTCTCTCCGGATGAAGGTAGCCACTAGAGATCTCTCTCGAACTACAGAGGCAGAGTTCAATGATTATGGCTCCAATTTGGAGCATCTCTACCATAAATGAATCTTCCATGTTTACAGGTTGCCCTACTCTACGCCCTACGCTTGATTGTTTACATGTCTACAGACTACCAGGATGTCTCAAGATGGGAATCAATGAGTGATGATGATATTGCTTGCGATATGAGCCAGTACTAATCAAAACAAGACTCAACCAAAACCAGACAAGAATCAATGCAGAACTTAACAGGGCAAGAGAAACATACCGAATGCTTTTTGTTGATTTCTTGTTTTCACCATGTTTGTGGTTTAATGTCGACAAAACCTGCACTATCAGCCCCGAAGCGACTCAGAGTAAGGAGAAGAAGCGGCAGAGGAAAGCAAACTCGCCAACTGAAAATTGTGAGCCGCGCTCGCAAACCAAGCCGCGGTCCTCCCACCGACCTCCATCCTCGGATCAGCCCCATGGCGGAGAATCCACCTGATGGCATTGGTCCGATCATGCCACTGCTCCGCGGCAGCGATCATAAGCGGCGTGCGTCCATTCTCCGCATTGCCGTTATTGATCGCCTCGGGGATACGGCCGTACAGGTACTCGAAGAAGTCCATATTGTCATTGGACTCCGCAGCCGCATGCCAGGCATTTCTCCCCAGGAAGGGCAGGATACAAACTGCAATGTCGACCCCGTCCTCGGCGAGGTCCCAGGCTAGAAGCGCATCTGCGTGTCTGCACAGCTGGTACTGAGCCACCTCGGTGACTTGGGCCTGCCAGTTCGGCAGATGGCGGACACGCTGCCACACCCTGCTGAACATGTCGGCGCTGTGGTACGCGGCCAAGGTGAGGAAGTTGGGCGCTTCGTTCCGTCGTCCCACGCGACAGACACCATATAACAGGTCCTCGGGCTTTATCCGGGCAATGAGGTACTCTGCAATGGCGTTGCTGCCCCATGCGAGAGCCAGACCCAGCAGACGCCAACCATTCAAGCTAAAGGACATTAAGTCCAGACCAGCCTCGACCAGCACCTTCAGGATTTCTAGGTTGTTGGTCCTGATGATGCCGGCAATGCTGTCGGGGGCGCGAATGAAGGGGACCTCGCAGGGATGGCGGAGGTGGTTAGTGGGCAGCACGTTGTCGGGGAGTCTGCCACCGTAGCGCTTGAGAACAGCGGCTTCGTCTGGAAGGGTGTAAGTATTTTCCTTTATGAAGCGAAGTTTGATTACCTCTTTGGCGTGCGAGGCGAGGTCTTCTACATCTCGCACGATGCGGCGCAGCTCTTCCTCGTCGAGGAAGCCCAAGCTATGCTGCAGGATCTCCGCAGGGAGCTCCAGCAAAGAGCGACGTCTGGTAGTTTCGTTTGCCATTTTGACTTGGCGAGGATTAACAGGGCAGAATCAATGGAGAGTTTGAAAGGAGAACTGCTGAAAAGGCTCAAAAGGCGGAGAGGAATGTTGATGTTGCGTGAGGAAGACAGAAGGGAGAGGGATGGAGATGATGAAGATGGAATAGATCGATGTTGTAGAGAATGACCCTCCTTATATAACTTCGCTCACCCCAATGTCTCAATTCATCTCCGGCATGGAAGACATACCCCCTTCAACTTCTCTGAATGATGCGTACATGTCTTCCATCTGTCCTTGTTGTATAAGACATCTTCCAATGTGTCTTCTTCCTCATTATCAGTTGGCGGAGAGGTCCACGATGATACAAACCAGAAGCATCAATTGTCTCTTTCTCAAGACAGCACGGAATGGGACAAGGAATCCTCCATATTATGCTGTAGGGAATCAGACAAAGGCTTTGTCCGACGATGTCCTGAAATTCCGCCAAGGGGTGACATAAGACAGAGACATAGAACAAAGCATTGTCTTATTTGGTACAACCGAAGGCAATAGAGAAGATAAGTGATTCGTAACCACTGTGCACGATGTTCATGGATACGTAATCAGTGCATTCTAGGAAATCATTGTTCAACTCAGAGACATTGTTAGTTCAATGGAAGAGACTACCTCGTTCGGATATGACTACAGCCTGGTCTGGTTGTGTCTTGGCTATTCTGGATATACTAGAGCGAGACACTACAGCAACGTATCACTGTCTCACTGCTGTAGTTCTCTACTCTGCTTAGTCTCTACCGTCGGTATTCCTCAGCTCAAGCTCTATTGTCAACCTGAAGTATAGATGATACACAAAAGCAGCATGCAGGACATGGTCAATGCTACATCTATCAGAGAAAAGGTACAGCTAAGCTGCAGATCGTTATATACTTAGGAACATATTTACATTTTGACCAGACGTGATCACGACTGACGTCTCTCCTCCGTCTGCCCATTAGCGTCTTCTCCCCCCTTATTTTCAGTCATCTCCGTGGGCGCATGCGCCGCCTCATCCAGCTCAAGCATCGGCGCAAACCGACTCTTCATCCTAAGCCGCTTCCCATAAAGATAGAAAATAACCGGGATCGGCACCAGAGCAGTCGCAACACATCCCAGCAGCGTCGCAGCCCATTGAATGCCCATATTATTGAACATCTGCCGCGAAAACAGCGGGAAGCTAGCTGCCAACACAGACCGACAGAATGTATTTGCCGCGATGGCCGAGGCCGCACTGTACCCGTTAGAAAGAGTCACCTTTTTCGAGGGCGGTCACTTACAACATGAGATACGTATCAATCAGATAATTGAACAACTGGATAAACACAATCAACAGCCCGAACCCCGTAAAGAGGCCACTGAGCGTCGACACAATCCACGGCACCTCGGCCGTGAACCCCGTCCATCCGAACCAGAAGATACCCGCCGCGAAGAGCGCCCCGCCAGCAATCACCGGCGGGAGACGCCATTCGGGCACCGGCACGCCGGCATTCTCCTGCAGCTTCTTGTTGTAGGATCTGCTCGCAAAAACACAGATATAGGCGCCGCCGATGAACAGGCCGACGACCATCCCGAAGAGCGGCAGCCCGCCGACGCCTGCGTTCATGTGGTACACCCCCTGGTAGACGAGGCCATACGCCGTCAGGAAGCAGTACAGCAGCCCATAAATAAAACTGAGGTAGAGCGTGACGGCGAGGATGAGGGGTTCGTGCACGAGCAGGCGCAGCGGGCGGGAGAAGTTGTTGACGAGTAACTCCTGCAGGTCGATTTCGATTTCCTCCTGCTTGGCGTGGATGCCCCAGTTTTTTGTGCGGCGGCGGAGCTCAGCGGCTTTGTAGATGAGGATTACTGGCGGGTAGGACTCCTTGAGGAAGAAGAAGTTGAGGATGAGGGCGGCGTAGCCCATGATGGCGGGGATGTAGGCGGTCCAGCGCCAGCCCAGATACGACATGTTGATAAAGCCGCCGATGAAGGGGGCGAGGAGCGGGCCGAGGAAGACCATGCTGGAGAACATGGCGATGGCGATGCCGCGGGAGCGGTTGTCGAAGATATCGGAGAAGATGGCCGCCACGACGGCGAGCGGGCAGCTGCCGAAGACGCCGGAGAAGAAGCGACAAATAAGTAAAGTCTGGAGGTCTTTTGCGACGGCTACAGCGATATTGAAAATCCCGAAGCCCAGCATGCCGATAAGGATGGGCAGCCGGCGGCCCTGCAGTTCGGAAAAGGGCGCCCAGATAAGCGGCCCGCAGGCGTAGCCTAGGATATACAGCGAACTCGATAGCGTGGCGACCTCGACGCCGACGCCGAACACGCGCGCGACATTACCGGTGGAGCTGGAGAAGACGGCCGAGTCGAAGGTCGAGCAGATACTCGTGAAGGCGAGGATGGCACCCGTGCAGAGCCTAGAGAGAGTCACAAAGGCTAAGAAAATCAACGTCACCACATCATGCCGTGGGTGGCGAGGGGAATCAAAAACTCACTTTCGGCGCGTGCTCCAATTCTGGGGATACAGCGGATCGTCTTCCCCGTCGAACTCTACCACATAGTCTTCCCGATTGGGCAATTGGGGGGGATAGGGCTTGCCTGCGCCGAACGCGGGGAGAGGCCCGCGGGCAGACGCTCGGCTCTGCGTCTTGATACTCTCTCCGACGGTGAGCGCATGCTGCAGGCGCTGAGTTTCGATGCGATCTATGACCTGCGACGAGGTCTGATACCGCTCGAGGTCAGTCTCGGTGCGTCGCGAGTACATTGATCGCAGCCGCGGCTGGGATCCATCGCTGCTGGAACTGAAGGAGGAGTCGAGGCTCTCACGCGAGGAGACCGGAATCGCATCCTCCTCGGCGCGCTCGATTGCATGGTCTGCTGCATTCATTGTGCAGTCTATCTCCTGAGGGAATCAACGAGCCGGTATCATGAGAGATAAATTTTCGTCAGAAGCAACTTATATGTACCGGGCTAGAGGTAGAAACCCCTATGCTCAATAGTCCGCCCACTACGTCAAGGCCGCTCCAAGGTGGGGTCAGTCTGTATAGTTTTTCTTCTAGTGCACCAATCGCCAGGAAGAACCTGGATAGACCCGCTATGAGGGAGACATCCGCCCCGGAGTTCGGTTCATTACAGGAATTGCATTGCCGACTAGAATTTACTATATGAGGACATAAAGTAACCAGGATGTGATCATGCATGCAGGATCCATGCATGACATCAAATGACACATTATTATTACATGCATGACTGATCCTCAGAAATCATGCATCATCCTTCCTCGGAGAGAGTACTACTGCCTTACCACTCGGGCACCATTCAGGCAGCAACTAGCGTACAGAATAGTGGGGCTCAATGTAACGGTACGGTAAGCCCACTCGGAACTCGGAACGGAAAAAAGTGGGCCACGTGCTGAATAATATCTGAGTAATCGAGGATAGATTACAATCTGAAGATATAATCGCGCAAGGTTCTGTCATGGCTGTCTATATGTTATTTCAAAGGCTCAGCTTCAATGATACGAAAGGGTTTCCAGGCCAGTCTCATATATGCAAGTCTCGACTCAGAGCCTCATATATACAAGTGTCCTAGGGGAGTGTTCGGAGACATATCAATTGTCTCACTCTCCCATACAATCAGTATCGAGTACGCTGGCTGGGAGGCCCTTGGACTGGCGATATCGGGCGAAGGAGTCCGGGAAGCACTTACAGCAGCATAATTGGCCACGCCGGAGTGACCGCATATACCGGTCAAGGAGCCAGAGAATGAAGATATCTTTGGCCTATATTTGCATAGCTGACACGATATTCAGACAACGATCATCACCATGACAATCTATATGTAGTGCAGTGCAGTGCAGATATCTGAGATAAAGGAGACAAGACACGTCCCAGTACAGAAAGAGACGCAGCCGCTAAACAATTCACTAACACTATGCTATCCTAGCCTTATTATTGTGAAGACAGAGATCACGCTATTTTTTTAGAACGCTATCACACTCCTCTGATGTCTACACCCGCACCATCCTCCTCTCAAAATGCCACGTCTTCGTCTCGGTAGGAGCATGCTCACCCCCGGTCCCAGTTGGTGATCCCCGAGTGTGACTGTGACCAGGAGCAGTGCCCGTTCCAACAGGGGGCGTAGGCTTGGTAGTTGTTCCTGTTTCCGTGGTGTGCGTGGTAGCACTGCTCGTGGGTTCAGAAATCGGGGGAATCACGATAGTGGTCGTGTGGCCGTAGGTGTTGGTGTAGGTGATGGTCTCGCAGTGCTTGCAGTGTCCGGAGCCAGTACCAGTACCAGTACCAGGACCAGGACCACTTCCGCTGTCTCCACCGGGTGCTGGTGCCTGGGTGTGCGGTCCTGTATCCCCGCCGCTGCTTACAGTGACGGTTACCGTGACTGTTGATGGAGGGGGGCAGCTGTTTCCTGGACCGGGCAGGCTGACGGTTGTTGTCTGGGGAGAAGACGGGATCGCTGTGGGGACATGGGTGGTGTAGCAAGTGGTTGTCTCGTAGGTAGACGTCGTCAACCAGGTGCTGTAGTAGGTGGTGCCGCTCTGGGTGTGGATGGGAGTCGAGCAGGGCTTGAAGGTCGTCTTGGTGATGGTCTCGGTCACGGTTGAGACGGAGCCAGAGTCGCCGCCAGGGACAACGGTCGTTGTAGGCTGAGGATGACCAGTGCCATTGCCATTGCCATTGCCACCTGTGTGAGTAGGCTTACCACCTCCGCCTGTGGGAAGGAGAGTATAAGTCGACGGGTGGTGAGAGGGGTTGGTCGAGTTGGAGAAACTGTGGTGACTAGAAAAGGCAAGCGAAGAGCCTGCGAGGGCAGAGACAAAGAGCAAAGAGTGCATTATCATTCTGAACCTCTCACTATGAAAACTGACTTGATCTATTGATGGGAAGAATATCCCGAGCCAGTGTGGGAGTCATACTTATATACTGAAGACTTTCCAGCTTTGGTTACAACAACTATAGGGTCCTCCATATGGACACTACATCCGCAAGCCTCATGCCGGTGTGATTCGGTTGAGTAAGTCTCCATATCTCCAATCCGAAGTGAGTTAGGCCTCCATCAGTTCAGCGATAGACCAAACTATTGATCACCGGCGAAGCTATTCATAGTCCGGCGCGACCGGTCTTGCCTAGTCGCCCCACCTGTATCTCCAAAGCCGAGAAACATGAGACCATCGAGGCAATTGACAGCACGGATTCTTCTTGGGAAAATGCCGTTCGTGACTAACGTTTGGTCGGTGCACCTGTCATGGGGTGATTGCCGAGTTGCACCGCCATTTCCCATCTGGTCGTGGCGCGGTAAAAATAGATGGCCATTCCATGGTAAAAGTGAGACAGTATTCAGATGTCATCCAATGGTCCGGAATCGTGGCTAATCAATATTTGTGGCGAGAAACATTGTAAGACATCGTATAGTAATCGGAATATAAATGTTCAGCCACTGGCTCGGATTTCGTTCTGCTGACGGTCAGACTGTCATAATCACTCATCACCAATCAACATAGGGCCATAAATCTCGAGTCGTAATCGAATTAAGACTGATCGATACTGCCAGACATACGCAATGAATAATAGTCATAGGTACCTCGCGATCATGGCTCATCTATACGTTTTCTAACAAAATCTGTAGATATCGTAATTCAAGCATGCTCGGAAGAGTGTCTCCAGAACAGCCACGCTCTTGGGCTCCCTTCGAACTGGCTTTCCAGATACCTGTCATGGAAGATGGAGGAAGATTCGCTCAGCTCAGTTGTCTCGGATGAAGGAATCCGGCATGAACATAATTGGTTCTGTGTCAAGTAGCCTCGATGGACTACGACTTCATCAGGCGGACAGAAGCCAACAGCATGCGACGTTGTCAAATAGAGCTATCTCACCATCAATAGTGACTTTTGGATCTATTGAATGTACGGTGTGTTGACATTCTTTCTGGTTCTCGTTTCTATTTGTCACACTTCGGTACTGCTATAGAAGTGACATTCATGTCCAGTCTTTAGCTCTACCATCTCCCGTACAACCCGATGGGCCAATGTTCCTGCCAGCATGTCTGTCGAGGTTCAGTCAGCGCTGCCCCTAGGACATCATTTGAAAACAAAAGCCAGTTGCAACCAGTAGCCTGTGGACGCTCAGAGGCAGAATAGGAACCACCCTGGCTGAATACCCCGCAGCCCAGCTGTCCCAATACCATTCCATGATTGTCCACAACCGCCATGGGGTCCGTTTCCACTCCGGTCTTAGACGTAAACGCTGGATGAGAGGCATTGTAGACAGTATTCCGACTACAGTAACTGTATCCGGATGAATATCAAAGACTTGTGATCTATCTATACTATGTACCTCACGGACCCAAGAACCAAACCGGATTAGTCAAGGCCAGCACCTCGTCTGTCGTGCCATTACGGACCTCCACCCGGACAAACTTGGCCCCAGACAGCACACCCTTTTTAATCTGTACTCCATCTTTAATGGTAGTATTGTAGAAGTACCCCTCCTCCGAGACAAAGCAAGCCTTGAGCCTCGACAGCCCCTCAGTGACCAATACAGCCTTGGCCCCCGCCGCAGTCCTCCGGACCTTATCACCAATCTGCGCAGGAGCATCCAGCGAGTGAACTCGCACCTCAAACGCGAGGTCCATACCCGGTCCTTGAACCAGATAGGCCCGGCCCGCCTTGACACCCTCCACAATCGCCGCCTGGCTGCGTCCCCTCGCTTTGACGATGGTCGTCGGCCACCCGTTCAGCGATGGCGGAGAGTGCGAATCGCTGCCTCCGATGGCGGTCAGGAATTTCCCATCTACAAGCAGCTCCTGCCACTTCTGGACGGCCTGTTGATCCTGCTCGTCCCACTGCGCGTTCCACACCTCCACGGCGTCGGTCTCATCCCACCCGAGACTCCAGTTACACGCGGGGCAAGAGGCAAAAGGATGGTTCGCTGAGACGAAGCCACCGACCCGGTGGACCTGGTGCGCGGCGGCCGCGAAGCCAGGGTTATCATCGGGCTTGTACCGCCACTCGATGATCTGGCCGCGGTCGAGGCCGACGGCCTGCCAGTGGCCGTAGCGGGTGGTAACCTCGATGGCGCGGCCGATGAGCAGATCCGGGGCGAGAGAGGCCTGGTAGGCGCCGATGATCTGGTTGCTGGTGTCGGTGTTGTGGTCGCTGAAGAAGATGAAGGAGAGATTCTGGGCCAGGGCGTTGTGAATCTGCTGGTCGGGCGTGTACTTGCCGTCCGAGTAGACGGTGTGCATGTGGAAGTCGCCGCGGAGCCAGGTAAACGCCGAATCCTCCTGGCAGCCGTTGCAGAGGGGGTCAAGGTCGGTGGTGGCGTAGTATGGGGAGAACCACGAGTCGACGGGGTCGAAGGACATTTCGATATCCAGCTGCCAGTCGATACCGTCAGGGACGGACGCGTATGGGCCGAGCACAACGTTCCAGGTGCCTGTTTCGATGGCGCCGGGATTGTAGCCGGGAGTGGCCCACGCGGGCGTGATGGTGAAATTGTTTCTACTTTGTCAGATAGGAAACCAGTAAGATAGTCTCAGGAAGACATGCCTGAAACCGCCAGACCAGCCTCGAGAGCCTGTAGTGCCACTCTGTGCGTCCATCATCTGGTATCCTCGCTGATCGAAGATCCCAAGATCAAGGGCATTTCCCTGTCCCTTGTTCGAGTAGTTCTGCACAACATAGATGGATGTTGTTCCGACTTCCACTTCAAATGGCACATAGACAAAGGAGAAGACCTGCGAAGGGTCAATATGACCGGTCAGGATTTTCTTTATTGGTGCTCGGGCTGCGATGGCCAGTTCCAAAAGAGGAACCAGCCAGGCAATAGAACAGATGTTCTTCATCTTGAGGAATTGCTTCTATTCAAAAATCCATTGTTGACAGAGAGGGAACTGGCAGGTTTTATACGAACTGGGATGAACTAATCGTACACGTGCCAGAGGACTGGGCCTAGCATATCTCTGCACAGTGCAATTGATTGCTCTTGATTGCTCATTAGGCGAGGATTGTGTCGTTTAAACAGCTCGTGTTGACAGGATCTCCGTATGTCGATCTCCACGTGGGGTCGTGGTTGGATCAGCATTGGTTGACTTACGGATGCTAATTACCGGGATATAACCTTCCTCATAAAGTACGATGATCAAATGCCGAGTAGGGTGAAATTCAGTGTCCTGGTGATGATATTGTGTCCCCTAAGCCTGCCATTGCTACCCAGGAACTCGAAATGACTGTGAATAACCCGCCACCAGCTCCAGGCTGCATTTGTTCAGGGTTTGTATTCCAGAATCCAGAAGAGAACGTGATCATCCAGAAACCCAGGATTATTACCTCGAAAGTGTAGTGACGGCGATTCATTCTCTGGTAGAGTGATTGGCCAAGACGGTGGTGATATACATAACCTTCCTGAGACAGAAGGCGCCCATTTGTTAGTATCGCGATTATAATAACTGAGATAACTAACTCTACAGCTCATCTACTATTCACGAGAATTATTTTAAATTCTTCAGACAGCAGATACACCTATTTAACCGGCAATAACCTCGCCTCATCCTCTATCCTCGCCTCGTCCAGCCATTTCTCCGTCTCCTCACGCTCTCCGTCACACCAGTAAAGGCAACCATCTACTTATTCACATACCGGGGGATGAGAGTCTGTGCATCCATGGCAGCATCTGCGATGAGGAGCTGTCGGCTTGGTGGATGGTAACTGTGGTTGGGAGAGGGGGTTATTCGGCCATGGAGGGAAGGTTATACAACTGATAATATCGATGATAGAAATGAATAGTAGAGGGAATATCATATATTTTTATCAATATATGAAGTTGATTTTTTCCAGAGAGAGTGAGATTCATTAATACAGGCTGCTATGGAGGTGGTATATTGCCTAGCAGGGTCAGCACCACGCGAAAGCCCTCATTTGGCACTCCGGTAATGGCTTCCAAGTTGGAAAGGGCGGCATCTGCCTGCTTTTTAAATTTCTGGAGGAGCTCCCACGTCTGCTGGAGTGCACCACTGCGCCGAATCAAGTCAAGGATCTGCATTTTGACGTTAAATTGAAGCGGTGTTCCCGGAAGTCTTTGCCGGAGAATTCCCATGATAATCCTTTGGGCCGTGGGATCGGTGTTGCAACATACGGTGAGCGGATACGATAGCTTTCCTTCGTCTAGATCCTCGCAGAGTCCCTTCTGCGCCGTGTACTGTTCGTCTTGCAGATTTTGATAGTCGTCTCTCACTTGATACCACCGACCTAGGAGTTTCGTAAGCTGGCTCAACTCTGGAACTGGGACGGTCTGGGATGATGAGAAGCAGTGCATCATTCGAATGATCATATCGAACATCACGCCGGTTTTGCCATCAACCATAGCCATGTATTCCTCGGTGGACGGGCAGTACCCGGTGGACTTCCAGTTAAGATCCCAGCTCTGGCCTAGTGCCAGCTCTTTAAGGCCGTCCAGAAAGAAGGTAATCAGGGCTGGATATTGCTCGTTATGGACAATCAGCCTGGAAGCCGCTTGCGCTACTAGATAGGTAGCACTGTTGATGCATTGGGCTGAGCCGAAGACATGATGTGTTGCGGCAAACCCTCGTCGCAGATAAGATGAGTCCTGGATGTCATCGAGAATGAGGGTCGAGTTATGGAGGTCGTCAACGGTGCCCTTGACGGTGTCCACCAAGTGATGGGGAAGTTGGAACCAGATGTTCAGGGCGTCGACAACTTTTGACCGCATGTTTTTGGATGGTAGGGATTGGATATAGTGCACTGGATCCAGGAGAGCCGAATTGCCAAGGGCTACGGAACTCGCCTCCTCAACTCTGTTGGGTATGATGATTTCTTTCCTAACGGAGGGATTCCCAACAGATGGAGCGCGACTTTTGTATCTTTCACAGGCAGCAGACCAGATATGATGGCCGCCGAGAAGCACCTCAAGCATGACTAGGAATCTCCACACATGTGCTGGGACATCTATAGTTGAAAGTGCGAACTGTTTCATTAAGAGTTGGTACTTCCGCTCGTCCTCCAGGATCGCGGCTCGGAGTTTCTCCTTGGCTTGCTGCTCGGATTTACCCTCCCTGTCCATGACTGTCTTGACCGTGTTTTGCACCCTCTGGTCACCATCGCGCTCAACTTCCCAGCTGAAATAGTCATTTGTGTTGGCGAAGATACGGTCTGCAACGTCCAAGATATGTCTGATCTGTTTAATATCCTCGTCCGACAACAGAATGCCCAGAGAGAATTCAAGTATTCCCCAGATCACCCTGAAACAGGGAGGTTAGGATGACTTTCTGCCATGGCAAAGAAGACATACCTTGTCCCGACAGTCACGACTCGGCTGGCTACAGAATCTTCAAAATTGGCAGGCTCTGTTTCCACTACTGACTCCTGCGGCTGGACCCAGTTATCCAAGCATCTTGCCATTAGCGCTTTGCCGTCCGCCCCATACTTGGTCATGAATGCAGTTAGGTTCCTCGACATAAATGCATTTCCTTTCAAGCCTTGTATTGAGCTCAGGGTACCGACTCCTAGGGAGGCCCGTAAAGCCGAAGTAGCCATTTTATGATAAGTTGTGGTATGCCCGAGTTCGTCTCTGTCTATGACATCTTCCTCCGCAAGTTAGCCTCAATGTCGACCAGTAAAACAAGGATAGAATACCGTCGTGGATAGTGCCTGCCTCCAGTATCATAGCCACGTCCGCTAGTCTTTCTGGTAGACATTCGGGGTATAGGAGACTCGACATGTGGCCGACACATGAGTTCAACCGGCAGGCGGAGCCCAACGCCTCTTGAGGTAACGCAGACGACACCTCTTTACTAAACATCTCCGCTGATTTTACTGCCTGTGCATCCTGTTTATGGAGGCGGCCGGGAAGCGTGGTAAAAGCAGCAGATGGTCGAGAATGAGTGCTTTCATAGGGATCCGAGTAAAGAAAGGCAGACGAAGAACGCGATCTGCCACAGAGGGATTTGCGAAATCTAGCTTTGAGTTGCATGACTGTTTCCTTGCTCTTTGATGTCAAAAGATGCCCAAAGCTCGAGAATAGCAGTGTGAATCTTGGAATAAGGAGATAGATCAGGAGATACTCTTTGAGCAAATTCGAACATTTTATCACTTTTCTTTTGTTATGTTTTTGCGATGTAGGATAGTCCATTTTGCTTTTACCTTAGGTTATACAGAGTAGTCTAGATCTAGTACATACAATGCATAACTTTCCCAATGGACAGTGATCTTGGTAGAGGCGGAATATTAGCTTGGATCGAATGATCTGCCATCCTTTTGTACGTTCTAAGCTACTGGAGTGCGATTTTCAACACCTAAGAGGAATCTTTCTTTAGTCCGCGCCTCAGCGCCTTGAATCCTGGTCGTGATCGTGACTATGTCTACAGGCTAATAGCATAATATATCCCAACGAGCTCTGCGGCGTGGACGGATCTGTTAGCCATTGGCCCGACGTAGGCCTGTTTTGATTCTATCTCCTGCTGGTTTTTGCCTAACATTACTTCCACTGCGCCGACATGTCCATTCTCTCTAAGGCATCAAAGTGGATAACATGAATTGCGCACGGCCCCCTAAAAAGGGGTGCAGCATATACTTTCAACACCCCACTGTAGAAGGGAGATGCCCAACTAGCTATGACCTGTCAAATCCGCCTTCTGCGGAGTTCCAAAGAAGGATGGGGCACCAATTTGTGGCCCTTGTTCATTGGTCTTGAGCACAAGCAATCAATGAGGACGCACTGCTGCAGTCAAAAAGCAAAACTACACAAGCTTATTACAAGCAAAAGTAGGAAATGATCTGCAGCTGACTGCTCGATAAGTCCAGTGTGAGAATGTGCCTGGCTGAACTCAGGTCCATTGATGGTTCGATGGTTCTGATCCACAATAAATACTCATTTTTGGGTCATTAATTCTCTCCTGAGCTGGTTGGACTGCATGAACGAACGCCTTGGCTTCCTTTTGGCTGGTCGTGGAGTTACTGAAGCGTGACCTGAATAAGACCCTGGAACCTTGCGAAGATTTAATGCTATGAAACCCAACTTAGGGTTCTAGTATCTTTATCGGGAATTATTGTGGAATTGTAGAGCTGTCAACGCGGACTTAGCTCATAAGGAACTTTGAGTTTGAAAAGGAAACAAAGCTATTGAATCATGTGGGAGGCGACACCGTCGAAAGCAGGCGCAAACAAACTACATGGGTAGAAAATGAGTAGTTATGGACTGGTTGTAGGTCGTGACAGATCACCTGCATACTGCGGAGCATGATTTTCTTTTCAATGTGGTACTATCGTCTGAATTTTCGGAAAGATGAACCAATTGTCCGGATAGGGTAAATAATCACTGCTGTCCGCTGAATATATCTCGTAATATCTAGTTGTCAGATGACTATCAGTCACTTCAAAAGTCTCGACTCTATCCGGGGTGCCTTAGCTACTGTAGGCAAAATTGATTTGGGGAAAGCGTTACTTCAGACCAGAAAATTTTTTGACATCTTTAAATGATATATAGCGCCTTCCTGTAATTGTCATGGAGTTGCGTGCCAAAGCATATTGGACAGACCAATATGAATTCAACACAGTGCCTATCAGGCGAGAGCCCAGAGCAGCTCACTTCTTCTAACATCTGCAATCCTGGTTTCCTCTGTACGTCTGAATTCTATACAATAAGTCAATGGCATTAACGCGGTTGTACAAGCAGGCCTGAACAATACCGTAGAGCACCCGCCAACATATTGCCCCCCAACCCCCAGTTGCCTTGTTACCCGACTCCAAGCTGCAGCAAATATCTGCTCTCAGCCACAGGGTGTATACGAACCCATAGTGTGCAGGCCAGGTTACTACTGCCCCCCTGGTGGGAAACAACAAATCGTCTGCCCCAAGGGACATTACTGCCCACTAGGTAGCGTTGAACCGTTTAAATGCAAGGCACTCTCAAGATGCCCCGGAGGCAGTGCTTACGAGCGCCCTTTTCTCGGATTCCTAGTCTGTGGTCTTCTAGACTTATTCCTAGTGTGCTTATTTCTCTGGCCACGCATTAAGAGTAAGAGGCGAGGAGGGGTGCAGGATGATGCCCGGCTGGGGTCACAGGAATCACAGGTGGAAGGGCAACCTGCATCTGGTTGTGACGGCGAGGAGCCAGGAGCTGTGAATTGGATCGATCTTCCGTTATTGGAAGAGTCGATGGAAATGGGCCTTGAACTAAGGTTTGAGAATGTCTGTCTTCGCAAGCCCAAGTCAGCCGAGTTCATTTTGTCCTCTATCAACGGAAAGGTGAAAGCAAGCAGCCTCACTGGTATTATGGGGCAATCTGGGTCTGGGAAGAGTATGTGTCAGAACCTGCACGAGAACTATGTAACTGACGAACTGTGCTTCGAATAGCAACGCTTGTCAATATACTGGCCGGGAAGATCCAGGCGACCTCAGGGTCTTTGTTCTTAAACAACGTCGAGAAGAAGTTGACCGAGTAAGTAAGACGCGATTACGTTGGAGCATCCTGCTAATATTATTATAAAGAAGGCATAACTTTCCAGCACTGGTAGGCTTCGTCTCACAAGATGATATCGTGCACCCGCACCTCACCGTATTTGAGAACATCCTTCATTCGGCTCGCATCCGACTCGGCCGCGCATTAAATGACCAAGTAATTCAAAAACATGTTCATGCAGTGGTTGACGGTCTAGGCCTCAGGAAAGTCAAACACAGCGTTGTTGGTTCCCAACAGCGGCGTATTATCTCTGGAGGCGAATGCAAGAGAGTCAGCATCGCTCTGGAGCTGGTTGCTGCACCACAAGTCTTGATCCTGGATGAACCGACGTCTGGGCTGGATGCTCAAGCAGCTCTCTCGATCATGGCTTTGCTGAGTTCGCTTTCGCGCCAGGGAGTCACGGTTATCTGCGTCATCCATCAGCCCCGTGTTGAGATCTTTGACGCGCTAGATTATCTACTACTCCTTGATCAGGGGAGAAGTGTATACACTGGCCGAGCGTCCGAGGCCAAACAGTACTTCCAGGCGCAGGGTTATGTATTCGATACAGGGCTGAACCCCGCCGATCTGATCATGGATATCATTTCCGGCAAGCTCCAGCCAACGAGCCTCGATGCAACGGATTCCAAGCGTCAAGAGTTACTGTCAGGAGACACGCTCGAAACTGTACCCTCGTCGCTCTATCCTAACAGGCGACCATTGTTCAACGAACTGGAGACAAGATACAAGAGAAGGATTGCCTCCTGGCACAGGCAAGTATACCTCTGCGTTGTCCGTGACCTCATCCAGCAAAGCCGGCAGGTCGCCATGTTCGTGACGGAAATCATGGGCGGAATCCTTACAGGATTGCTTATTGGACTGGCCATGTACGAGCTTCATGGCCAAGTATTCCAGGGCATGTTTCTGGCCCCATTCGAAGTTCTGTCCAGCGCTATTAACTACAGGCTTATTACCCAGCTGGGGCTCCTAGGCTGCCTCGCCATAAGTCAGTTCCTCTCTAATCTGGATTGTTCGTCGCTAACCCCTAGATAGCCTTCGCTGCGGCTGCACCAAGTGTTGGTATATTTGGAGAGGAGAGTACGTTTCAATCTCGTCATGCTCCCGTCTTCTCGTCCACTAAAGGTAGTCCGTAGTTCTCGTCTTCAAACGTGAATCGCATTCAGGCCATTCAGAGGGCGCCTATTTCGTTGGTAAAGTTCTCTCGAGTTTCCCACGAAGCTTTATTGCGGCTTTCCATTACACGACGTTTTATGCGGTCCTAGCAACCCCATTTGCCTCGTTCAATAAGTTGCTAGTCCTCAACTTCCTCTACTTCTACTGCATTTACGGAATCGGGGCCATTGTAGCCGCCGTATCCAATCGTGAGAATGGTCCCTTGGTCTGTCTCTTGGCGACGATCGTTATTGCGGTATTCGGGGGCTCGGAACCTCGTTTGCCAACGGTCAAGGGGTGGCGTCTCGAATGGCTCTGGTACATGAGCCCCGGTGTGAGTTCCATCCATCCATCTACAGCTGTAGAAATTTAGTACAGGGACTGACTGCTACCGTTTTAGATGTGGTACTCGGAGGCCTTTGTCAACGAGCATGTCACACCGTTCGCATATCTGTACAACTTGGACACGGCTTCACTGGAGACAGGGTATACGTTTTATCGCACTGGATTTGATATCGGGTAAGTGACCAGCAAACTGACCATGTTCTTTTTCTTCTCTAACCAGTGGAATTGATTATACAGTTTGATGATTATCATTGGCTTGGTGTGTCGAAGCATTGGCTGCTGCTTGATGGTTATCAGGGCAAGGACTAGCTGGTGGTAGCTGTGTCCAGTGACGGTCCCTACTAGAGATACTAAGAGATTAACGAGCTTCAGGCTTCCTACAGTCCTACTACCCAGAGCCCAACGTGTTACTTGGAAATAACTCGCCTCCAAGTACCGAGACGAACAGGGCATCTGCCATTCAACCATACAAATAATATAAATCTGCGGGCGTATCAGGGATATTGGCAGAATGATACACCCGTGCGCTATCTCACTTAGAATAATCAGTATTGACCCTTGACCATCCCATCGGACCATGTATTCATCAACTGTGGCTAGGTCATTTAATAGATGAAATAACCCGCGCAGTATTTGTCTCTAAATGTCGTACTCTTACTTGCTCCATCCCCATGCTACCATGCTTACGATAACTTTAGTAGGTAAGTACTGTCAAGACCTAAAGTTAGTAATAATCTGAGGGACAGCAGTTAAAACAATGACACACTTAGTGGGGCGCCAGAAACAGCCCTTATTAAACCATCTGTCTGCTGCTTTCCACCACCTGCCCTATGCCAAAGTCCCACTACCCCTTTCAGCCTAGGGCATCTGTTTGGGCTTACACCTATATTCTTACTACTTTTGCGCCCATCACCTGCTACCTCATGCCTCCTATACTACATATATGACCCCATCTGCTTGCCGTACCTGCGTCCCTTACCATTTCCAGAGCCCAGACCGTGATTTCCACTAGAAGGCTCAAGCACCTGCCTACTCACTGTGACCAAACTAGCGTGCTTCGCCCGGAGGTCAGATGCAAGACCCAACTGACCCTTTATGGACTATTGATGTACACACCCAGTTGGTCCTCCGGAATGGGCTGATACGTCGAAATATCAGATACTGACTTGATATATCTGCACCTTGAAGTGCGCAATGGCTAGGGGATCAGCACAGGCACCACAACTTAATCTATGAAGTGAGACAATCTTTAAGATTGATCAGCATACTGTCCAGATTCACCGTGGGTTTTTCACATTACTGCTGGACTTCTACCTTTAGGTACGTGGACGATGCAGTACTGGCTGTATGGAGGAGAACTAGAGGAGTTAGGTAGCCACTTACCATACACACCACCTCTGGGGTAATCACACATTTTTCTGCACTGTAGTGACCCCTAGCACGCGCTGCTCTGTGTAATACTACGCTGTACAGGTCGTGTATTATCTATTATCTCATCAGGGTAGACACTATCTAGTGTTTGGGGGCCATAATTACACCGTATTCCGGTCACACTTGAAGCCATGTGTCTTCGGCTTAGGCCACAGAATTGCTGAGTATCTTTGGGGATTTACCGATCTTTACTTTGCATCCAGCGACGTTTCCGCTGGGGTAGATTCCCCATCGCGAGGTGCCCTCCAAGTACCATGGTTAACTCGGCCGAGTATTCGTCCTACGGTAGTTCGGCTAGAAGATATCGAACCTTTCCACTGGGCATGTTCTGCACGATACCCAAACAGCTAAATCAACGAAGTGAAGTTACCTAACCCTCTTGATAGTCCCGACACCAGACGCCAAACACAAGCCAAGCTTTCCAATGTTAGAAGTGCCGGCCCGCCCTGAAGCTTGTGATCAACAGCACACTAACTCCGCCTTATAGCCCTTGGGAAATTACTTCTGCTGATTAGAGTTGCATAACCGAACTGCAAGAATCGAATCTGACCCTCACTGAACACACAGCGGTCCAGGTTCAGTCCCTAGCCTAGGGAATCATACCAGTTTCAGTTTCCCTTAGGTGAAACTGATTAAAGTTCAGTTAAAACCATTGGTTATGGTTTTTGAGGTTTTATCTGCTTAGGTTAACTAACCCTCACCATTTTACTCAGTATGCGTGTGTTATTTATTAACCCCCTCCTCTCGCCGAAGTTGGACCGTGGATTAAGGTACAAGTGTGATTTCCATTTTCAATCTATGAGGAAAGATCCAGTAATGGCTTCACGCAGGTTGGCTAGCATAGTAGGTCCCAAGCTGGGTAGTAAAGTCATCGTTATTCAAGATACCGAAGCAAGTATGCAGCTACGATTTTTCAAAAAGGCAATGTCGCATCCCCATGAGTCATTTATTTCGCGATTTCAATAACGACTTTGCCGATTTGTTGTCCACCCTCGAGTCTTTTGTATGCCTCGTGGAATTCCGCGAAGGGGTAGACGCGATCGATGATAGGTCTGACTTGGTGCCGTTCCATAGCCTGAAGCATAGCCTCGAACTCGACCCGCGAACCAATAGTAGACCCAGTTACTGTAAGGGATCGAACGAGGATATCAATTGGCGGAAGGCCGCCACCGAAACCGCTTGCGAATCCAATCAGGACAACGGTGCCAGTGATTTTAGTCGATGCTGCGGACTTCACGATAGTCTTCTCTCCAGCAATATCCAGCACCTTGTCAACACCTTTGCCACCCGTCAGAGAGAGGACTTCCCGATCCCAATCAGGGGTGGTACTATAATTCACAACGGCATCGGCTCCAAGCTCTTTAAGCTTAACGGCCTTCGTATCCGAGGATGTGATTGCCAGGACACGAGCGCCGAAAATCTTCGCAAATTGTAACGCAAAGAGCGAAACACCACCGGTGCCTTGGATCAGCACGGTCTGGCCCGGCTGGAGGGGCTCAACTTTGTTAAGGGCCGTCCAGGCGGTAACAGCCGCACAAGGAAGGGAGGCAGCCTCGACGTAGGACATATAACGAGGGATGCAGACGAGTGCATCCTCGTTAAAAATCACATATTCAGCCAACAGCCCGTCGACAGTGAACCCAACGCTGCTTGAACGATACTCCGGGATGTATGGGCCAGCAATCCAATTTGTAACGCAGCTGACTGCGACGCGGTCGCCCTTTGCAATCCGTGTGACATCTGTTCCGACTGCAATAACCTCTCCAGCACCGTCAGAAACAGGAATACCGTTTCCCTTAGTCGGCGCACGATATTCACCCCTCAGCAGAGCCGTGTCGCGATAGTTCAGGGAAGCAGCGTGGACCTTGATCAGGACATCGCGCGGACCTGGAGTCGGCAGAGATTCGTCACGAAGTTCGGCGGTAATTTTGGCGCCAGCCTTGGCAATGCGAACAGCTTTCATTTGCATCTTGTTTATCTTTTTGGTTTTTGGCTCGATTAAAACATTCAAGAAATTTAGAGTCTCTTCACATTTAGCATAATGAGGGGAGTTGCCGAGCTAAATATCTTTTTGGAGTGTTAGGAAGCATTCGATAGGGTAACAATGACGTTTCCATCACCCAAACCTCAGATGAATTAGTGATGATGGATTATGATAGCACCGTTGAAGCTGACAATTTCTCTCAGCTCCCACCGGTATCCCACTGACATCCCACTGTCATCCCACCGGTAATCCCACTGCATCCCACATGTCGACATTCAAGTACGGACGGCGTGGGCCGATTGCACCTGGTAAGTCGTTCTAGCAATTCCGACCACCTTTCGATAGACGCTTTTCATGTATTGCCTCGGTATCTAATCGACATATCCTTAAAACTGAGATTAGTTAAACCACTAGAAACTGTTTTGCTTACGAATCACTAATTTTAAAGATTTCTTTAGAATTTTTGATATTACTATATACCCTAGTATCTAGTCTATGTAAATATAAAATATAGACTCAGAATATCTAGTGGTTGGTGAGATATAAGGGAATAATCATTATAGTCATGGGTTGGTATGAAAGTAGCGGTGGTTTATATAACGTAATTCCCGGCCAAGCGAGACACCCGGCCAAGCGAGACACCCCATCCAAAATCGCGTCTTCCTACCTACATAACAACTTCAACCACCTACCATGCCACCAATTCGCTCTGAATCTCAACAGAAATCGGCCAATCAGGAGGGCAGGATCTTATTAGCTCTTGATGATATTAAAAATGGCCGCATCAAATCTCTCCGTGCAGCAGCGAAGTTATATGAGATACCGCCTGCTACACTACACCACCGCGCCCAGGGACGCCTTCCACGCGTTGATCAACGCCCCCCTGGTCATAAATTGACTAAATTAGAAGAGGATTCGCTTACTGAGTGGATTATCTCTATGGATACGCGTGGAGCAGCGCCTAGACCTGCTACTGTAGCAGAAATGGCTAATATCCTTCTTGCTGCGCGCGGAACCAACCCTTCGCCTACTGTAGGCAAGAATTGGCCATCAGCCTTTATTAAGCGACGTGATGAGCTTCGTACACGCTTTTCAAGACGTTATGATTACCGGCGTGCCCTAAATGAAGACCCAAAATCACTACGAGAGTGGTTTGCAACTGTACAATGCATTATTAATGAGAACGGTATCCAACTAGAGGATATTTACAACTTTGATGAGACAGGATTTGCAATGGGTCTTATTTCAGCGCAGAAGGTGGTTACTTGAGCTGAATACTATGGTCGGCGCTTAATATTACAGCCAGGAAATCGTGAATGGGTTACTGCTATTGAGGCAATCTGCGCAGATGGCTATTCACTACCGCCATGTGTGATATTCAAGGGTAAAGTTGCTATTGCGGGTTGGTTTGATAACCTACCAAAAGACTGGCGGTTTGAGGTCTCAAATAATGGCTGGACTACTGATGAGATAGGCCTTCGCTGGCTACAAAAGCACTTTATCCCACACACAAATTTGCGTGTACGAGGCCGGTTTCAGCTGTTGATTCTTGATGGCCATGGGAGTCATCTTACACCCAAATTCGACTGGATCTGCGCAGAAAACAATATTATTCCTCTTTATATGCCTTCACATTCATCGCACCTACTACAACTGCTTGATGTTGGGTGCTTTGCAGTGCTTAAGCGCGCGTACGGTCGCTTTATAAGTGATCTTGCGCGGAGAGGATATAACCATATTGACAAGTTGGATTTCTTGGATAACTACTAATGTGCGCGGCTAGAGGCCTTCCAATAGCCAGCTATTATTCAGAATAGCTTTGCAGCTAGTGGCCTAGTACCAGTTGATGCAGAAAGAGTGCTTTCAAAGCTTAATATCTCTCTATAAACGCCTACACCACCAAGCAGCCGGCCAAATAGCAGGTCTAGCCAATTCACACCAAAAACACCCAGAACTGTGATTCAGCTAGAGAAGCAAGCTTCTATGCTCAAAAACCTACTGAAACAGCGGTCAAATAGCCCTCCGAGCCCATCAAAAACCATACTAGATCAGATTATCAAGGGCCACTGTATAGCGCTACATAACACCGCGCTACTAGCGCAAGAAAATGCGAATCTACGCGCAGCAAATGAGAAGGTGGTGAAGAAGCGCAGTCGGTCAACTAGGCAGATACCCTGCGAAGAGGGTTTAACCGTTGAAGAGGGTCTACAGCTAGTTGTACAGCCAGATTTGCCAGCAGAAGCACCTGCGGTAGAATCGCATGGGCAGGGTGAATTGCCTATTCAGGCAGATCAACCAGCGAAGAGGGCTCCGCCTAGGTGTAGTGGGTGTAGGGAGATTGGCCACAGGATCAATTCATGTAAAAATCGCTATATTTAGCTAAATTCATAGGTGTTGGTTGAGATAATCGATTTTGAAATTTTCTAATGGGTTTGGGTGTCTCGCTTGGCCGGGAATTACGTTATATATACCTCTTACAACCTTTGATAATCACTTATGGTCTAAGAATAATTTTTAAGCACCACCCTTTTAACCCTATACATATTGAATTGATATTTTACATATAGACTAAAATGACTATAATTACCATATATTTCATATAAAAATATCAAATTTCTCTAAGCATATTAGTAGACCTAAGGCATAGGAAAAATTGGATTCTGAGAACCTTTGAAATTTTTGATATTGCCTAGGCATACGGTTCACCTAGATAGGCTAGCGACTGCCTATCTAGGCCTAGTGGTGGGTTTTGCGGTTAAACTCGAACCAAATCAGAACGGATCAGGTTTGGTTTTAAATTCTGTTTTCTAAAATTTAGACTTAAACTCACGGCAGTTTGGTTCTAACCAGGGTGGACTTGCCCAAACTCAACTGAGTGTAATGGAGAGTCAAATCCTAAGTAATCATATATCAAATAACAGTGAATAATATAAGCAATGAGTCAGGTGAAGATCCTGGGCCCCTGGCGCAGCCCCATATATATTTGATTCAGGATAATATAAATGTACACCTGATAGTGAATGGTGGACATTAAAATAGGCGACATTGTTAACAGAAGTGTATTCCTATATAAATAATAACGAGACTTACTCCGTATACTATGATCTATCTGAACTGACTATTCTCGTCATCACCTCTAATTTTATGCCAACTGTCAACTGGAGCCGAATATCCGCCAAGACGCCAAGACCGCCACTTTTGCCTCAAAATTCTCTCCAACACAATATTATTATTATCATCTCTCCACCTTCAGCCCGATGCCCTCTATATCGGATCGGCTGACGGTGATCATCACAACCTCACCAGCCCCATCAAACCCCGCCACAGATCTCATCGCATCAGTCTTACAGTCCTTCCAGCAGCACTGCGCTGGTCTGACCGACGCGCGCGTGGTCGTCGTCTTCGACACCTTTGCGCGCATCACCTCCCAGCCACGCCTGAAGAAAGGCCATGCCAGCCCAGAACTAGCTGAGAGCTACGCGCTGTACAAGCGCAACATCAAGCAGCTCATTCTGCAGACGTATCGTCATGAGCAGGACGGCCAAGGCCAAACCGTGAGCGAATCACACGCGGAGGCCGAGTTCGGCTTCGATGGCCGCGTCGAGCTGCTCATTAGCCAGACCGACAGCCGCAAAATCACGTTCATCGAGCCGGTCGCCCGGCTGGGGTTTGGGCTGGCTGTTCGCTCCGCCCTGAGAGTGGTCGAGACCCCGTACGTCTGGGTCCAGCAGCATGACTGGGCGCTTGAGGCGGATATTCCCCTCGAACCTCTGCTGGAAATCATGCAGGGAAGTGAGGGCGACGACGCTGTACCTGTCAAATATGTCTCGTTGCCGTCGGTGCGGATGAAGCGGTATGCGGTCTCACCGCATGTCACGGACCATGCGGGGCTGCGCGAACTCACCACCTCCTTGAAGCGGGATTTTGTGGCTCAGTCTCAGCCGGAGCAGAAGATTTCTCTTACGCCGCTGTTTTTCTGGTTCGATAAACCGCATGTGGCCGCTACCGCGCATTATCTGGCCCGGGTGTTCCCGACGCGGCTGGCGATGCGGCGGGGGGAGTTCATCGAGGATAAGATCGGACAGCGGGCGAGGGCGCAGATGAAGGAAGGGCAGTGGGCCAAGTGGGCCACTTGGCTGTACTACCCGGATGATGGGGACCTGCTGTGTCTGCGGCATTTGATGGGGAGGACTTGGAGAGGATTTGCGGGTCCGATCAATGTCAAGGATGGTCTTAATGTTGCTGAGGATGACGAGTCTTGATTATACCCATTTCTACGTTCTATCTAGAAGGGTGGATGGGAGCAGCTGGGTGTGGTAGACGCATCGGAAGTTACCATTGTCCAGAATGGGATTCTGCTAGCAAAACCTGGCGGTCCAGGATGTTTATATCAGGCCACGGATAAATTCTGTAGCAGCAACTCCTACCCTATCTTGAATGAGGCTCAAAAGTGCAGGGCATTGACCAGTTCAGAGAGCATATAGAGCAGGAGTACCTGACATACTGCGATAAAGGAGTACCACTGAACTGTGTCACTGCTGCCATCACTTGTCTCATCCTGGCCAAGTCGAAACTGGCTGTGTGCCCGTCACGAAGGGATCGGAAACTGGTAATGCCTGTGCGGAGCAAGTACCGGAAGGTCTTGAGGATGTTCGCGACCTTGCTTCCAGATTGCGACACGAGGCAGTTAGTCGCTCCCTTGGAGGGCTGCACATACCGTGATGGGTTTGCATTCCTCAAGACCAGAACCGGTGTCTGTCAAGGACCAATGACTAAGTACCGGCTACTTCTAACACCAGCTATTAGAGACTTGAAAGTGGGATTGATCACTGCCGTAAGGTATGGCACACATAGAAGCCCTACCAGCCTCGCCCTTGCAACGAATACCAGTCGACGGAGGCCCAAACGGGCTGGTCCAAGTCAAGATCCATGGTAGGATGTGTGCTCGGGTAGCCCGTATCGAAAAAGCCTGGTTCTTCCAGCCCGTACGGGACCCCATAACCACCAATGTCTATGAAGGTGGACATAGAACTGTCGTTCATAGTCGCCGTCGATGCACTAGTAGAGTGCTCAGTATTCCCTGCCTGTCTGCTTGGTCCCTGACCCATTTTGGATCTCACGTCCGACACAATGTATGGTGGCTCCAGCGGCTTGTCATGGTCTCTGGGTACCGCCTCCCGTGCCTTCCAAGCCTGTAGAAGAATCCGTGCAAGGTTCTCAAAAAATGGGTTCATTTTCTTCATGGCCCCAAAGCGAGCGGCGTAGTTATCATTCAAAACTGTCCAACTTCTTTCCGCGTGTCCTGCCGTAGGTCGCCTTTTCAGGTCTTGAGCAATGTGAAAGTACGCAGGGAGTGGGAAGTGGAGAAGAAGGAACCAGTGATAGCCTTTTGTGAGAGGCGAGTTCATCAGCTTGGTATCGCACTCGATCATGCGCAGTGCGTGGGAGACCACCGCGTCGCGCTGTGTCTCTGTCTGCGGCACAGATGAATACCTGGCATAATGATCTAGCAGACGATTCTTCGCCAGCTGACCCCGTGTTGTCCAGATTGTCATAAAATGAAGAGGGTTCTCTGGGTTGCAGGAGGCGAAATATTTCTCTTCAATCATCCTTTCAAAAGCAGGCAGACTACCGGCCGCAGGAAGAGGATTTTCCTTGGCCACAGTCTTCAATGCAGGGTTGGTAAAGTCTAGATGAAACGAGCTGCGGCGCGTGAAATTGCCCACCTCGCTGCGCACGACAGCGAACAGTGCCTCAGAGGGATTGCCGTGCGTGGCCGGCCTGGACTTCATCTCTGGTTGTAGGTCAAAATCGTTCACGTTGAGAGGAATCTTACAGTCCCAGGTGGGAAGCAGATTTGTGGCCTTGTAGTCAGCCATCTCGCAAATCCGATTATCGAACAGGACGAGCGACCACCACAGTCTGCGGCGCATTTCACCTTCTAGAATAGTACATCTGCTATAGCTGGACTCGGAATGGATACCCATGCGCAGTGCGATACGGATAGCCACGCTCAGGATTGGCGACAGAGAGCGAGGATCTGTTTGATGTCTAACAGAGATCTGGAAGCGTCAGTGGTTTGCCTGGTTCAGTCTCAACGTGCTTACCAGGTAAAGGTACAAGGCCCCCAAGCAGTCACGGTCACCTGTACGTAGCACCTCGCAGTTCAGGAGGGCTTGCTGGCAGGCAAATTGGTAGCCTTTCAGAAGGTCATCTCTTGACGATCCGAACAGGGTCCGGCACTCCTCTTCTGACAGACTGAGAATGGCGAGGCAATAGATGCTAAACATGAGTGCTTCCAGGGTCGGTGGTATATTACCCACGTCCGCGGCCGCATCGATGATCCGTGCTTGCAATGTAGGAGTATGTGTGACCTTGAGCAGCGGATTGACATTGTCCAGATAGATTTGCCAGAGTCGGAAGATCTCGACCTGACTTGGGTGCAACGTTGACACTTTAACATCAAACTTGCGTGCACCAAACAGAAGGGTTTGACTGCCACCATCGTAATGCTCTTCCCAGGTCTTTCTGAAGACGGCCTCACGGACACCAAAGCGAGATTTATCATGCTCGTTACTTTTGTCGCTGTCATTAGTATCGTCCTCTTCGGGATCAACAGACTATCCATCCACGTCAGTCGACGTTCGAGAACCAGGCCCAGGGTTATTCACACCATTTGATTCATCACGCGCCAGATGTTTCTATAGAAAGTTAGCCACAGACAACGAAGACTACGATGAAAAGCTGACTTGGCCTCATATTTTGTCTCTGCTCCCGGGGTCTCCCCTTTCTGTGAATCTCGCTCCAATTTCTCATCGTTATCTGTATCAAAACTTCTATTTTCTCTGCCGGAAGAGGCCTGTTCCACAACAGAATTGTGCAAGGGCTGAAATTGTATATTATTCTGGCGCAGCAGATCTTCGTATCTCCGAACGCATTCCAGCAACTCCCTCTCCGGGACCCTGCGACGTCGCCGGACTTGTGTTGCAGGCATACACTGCACTTGAGCTCGCACACAATTAGCACAAGGAAATCGTCGGTCACATCTGACCTTGCGCTGTTGACACAGAACGCAGGCCAGCACACGTGTAGGCCTGTGTGCCGCTCGCAAGGGCGACCTCGGTGAGCTTTGCTCTGGTGTGGGCATTTTCGACTAGAAAAATAATACGAGTGTCCACAGGCCCAGGACCTGCAAATGAGATAAAGATGCCAGTCGTCAAGCAGTGCGTTAATGGACAAGTTTGCGAGGATGAAAGGCGAGCAGGATGTCGGGAGTTAGTAAAACCCGAGGCCCCGAGCTGCCCGACGGTATATCTGTCATGTGATCGGGTGGTGTGCAATACACTATAAGCCGGTTATATGAAGTAATTTGACTGAAATTATGTTTCCGAGAAGAATATCTCTATTATATTCAATACTGCTAGATAAATTCTAGCCCTTTAGTTTGTGCTGTGCGTTGACATATTCCGTAGGCAGGCCCGTTAGAATAAATGTTGGGAACAGTCAATTATTCTCAAAAGCCCTAAGCCCGACTCCATTCAAATCCTAAGCCGAGAGGGAAAATGAGAGAGAAGAAAAGACACGTGTCGGCAAAATATACAGGTAGGATAATAACAGTAGGGAGCTGTATGAGCTGCTGTTATTTCCACGAGTTAGGGATTACTATACGCGCTCGACACGCTAGCTAACTGGTTAACCAGGACTTCACCTACAAGGATCCTGTAAAGGGTGGCTATGTTGACTCGGAAGTATTTTCTACCCCTGGGTAGAGCGGTTCTGTGGGATAGATCCAGTAGCGTATTGAGACTCTAGAGACAATTTCATTTGAAGTGATTTAATGCTCCGTATTCAAGGCTTAATACCTGCCTAATCAATTATTCAAGCATCGTAGATTTACAGTCAAGCATATGTTGGCTTAAGGTGAGGATTCCTATCATTCTTGTATAATCATCGCTTCGATGAACTCTGTCAATTCCTATTGCTAATTGAGGAGCCAGGAATAGGAGGCAATACACATTATATGGGATGCTGAGTGTGGGAAACATTGATGAACCCAAACAGTTTAGACCTGCATATAGGGTTAACTCCCACTCATTAGCTACAGCATCTACACATGCATTAATTGGTTAAATAAAGCTTTGCGCCCGTCTAGTGTGCCTAGACATGCTCATAAAATCTAGTAGCCATCCAACACAATTTGAACTTTCTCATGGGGAAAATGAAGACATTTTAAGACACTAAGTATGCAGCCATTAACCCTCGCATGAGTGTGTAATACAGTAGCCGCCCAAGAACAATCTCGCCGCAGCAACAACATGACTGACACTTGTAAGACCTGGGATCTACCCTCGCCAAATAAGCACTGGAGATTGCCCTGCATGAATTCAAACCATGACAACCAAACAATCTGGTTCTCCGCTCATGTATAGTCCAACACGTGATGTTGGCTGCCCTGTTACTGGGGGTACAATTGCGGCGCAGGATAGGGTAGTGTTTCAGCCTGATGTTCCTGCATCGCATCACATGGAGAGAGACAATGTTGCTGTCCCACCCTGTATCTTGTACAACAGAAAAATGCCCTGTCTTCCCAGAAGCAGAACTCCAACCCCCAAATGAAATCCAGCTCCTGTTCTCATTCCTAGGCTCCTCACTTCCCACCACCATGGCGCACTTTAGGAACACTCCTGCGCAAACGGTCCTCTTGTCCACTCTTCTCATGGTTCTCTCCATTGCCTCCGCTACCGATGAACTCGTCGGCTGTGGCACCCTCGAGTGCGACTGCCAGGTTGAAAACCGCACCGTGAGCGCCCTCGGCCAAGCGTCCTTCAACTCGTCCTATATCAAAAACGGCACAGAGCCCCTGACCTGGACCCTCGGTCTCCAAGAGACCCAGGATCCCGACAAGTCGTCTATCGACCTCATAGACCAATCCTTCTATCTCGGCCTGCCACAGAACGTCAACCTCAGCAACACCACCGCGTTCGGCGCATGTGCTCTGTTCTTCACAGACATGACTACCATCCTCAGGTTCCAGTTCGTAGACCCAGAGCATGGAACCTGCCCGGATATAATGGGTGCAAACTGCGTTCGAGATTTGATATCCCTAGCTAAGCAGGAGGCGAGCCCGGACGGCCCGTTGTCGAAGGACCGCACCCTCGATACCGAGGGGTTCTGTCGCGAGCTCGCTGTAGCGCTGCGGACCCGAAGCCCAAAGTCATGTCCGCTATGGCAGGGGCACACGCAGGAGGGTATCCATGTGGATGGTACGTCTTCGCGGTGTATACAGGGCGCATTATGCGGTACTACCTAACTGACTATAATATAGCCCTGACCGGCCCGTCCGCCTCTCTGCCTATCGCAGACTTGCGCTCCTGCCGTCCCACCACCGGGAAGGACTACAGCGTCTCCTTGGTAGAGAGCTATCGGTCGGCCGTCCGGTACGAACAACCGGATTTGAACGACACCTTGCATGGAGTGACCCCTGTGGTGACGGTGTTTTACCCCAACTCGTCGTCGTCCCAGCAAGCCATGCCGGTTGAGGTCCACTTGTCGTGCTTGACAGTAGTGGGAAAGAATTATTTAAGTACGTCGGCAAACTCGGCCGAGGGGACTGGCGTTCAGGCAGTGCATTTGTGGAGTGCTGTCGGACTGGGGGTGATGTCTGCGATGTTCTTATGGTTTTAGGAGGCATGAAGTAAATGGCGGAGGTGATCTCCATGGCATGGACTCAAGTACTGAGATCTGGCTGACAGTATGCACTTCATTATAAAATTACTTCTGATCACATTTTGCTGGAAATTTCAGATTACTAAAGTCTTCAACCATTCTCAGCTGTACGGGTATGAGGAAGACTGTCGCAGCACTAGGCAGGGAATATGAGGACGGAAGTATGACAGTCATACTACCTGTCCAATAATATAAATAAGTTGAAAAGAGGTACGGATTCACTACAAAATAGCAAACTAGGCCTAGAATCTGAGTTGTCTTTATACATTCTGACATTAGAGGAAAAATTGGCGCCAAATTTGAGGTACCTATTGATCCTTTCCTCTAAATTCCCCCGACCGCCATCTTGAAAGACTTTCGATAATGGATCAATCTTATTTGCTGTTTATATTATTGGCGTTATCTTCTGAAATTAATAGGGCAATCAAGAGACGAAATCCACAAGTTATGACTACTCTCAAACGGCCAGATGTTGGGCATAGGTTATGCTAACACCATCTGGTTTTGCATGCGACACAGGTAAATACCCTCATATAGTTGAGTGCCACTTTCCAAAGACTGTGCCACACAGAGATAATCCTCGATAGATACCTAAATCAACGATCGTCCATTGAATTGTAGTTTCTGTGATCCGTGTCCAATCAACTGAGCAGGTCAGGCCTCAAGTTCCTTAGCTACAGACGACGCTAGTATCTTCCAGAACTCATCTTACCAGCAAGGATGGGCGCCCGTGGTGCTATTGTGCAGATCCATCAAGACTTGTTTGATAGTTGTCGGAGAATTGTTGGACGACTCCTGCGCCACCGTTGCCCAGTTGCCCCGTTGCCCTGCTGGCACGTTGCCCCGCGCCGTCATACGACTCTGGCATTCCTCCTTGCTGCCTGGATTCAAAAGCACCACTTCCATCTGGTATGTTGCTTCGCTGACAATCATGGCGGCCCATAGGCCTAGCAACTTTCCCTTGGAGCTGATTCTGAGGGTCGCGGACTATTTGGGATCTTCGGATCTTATAAATTTGATTTTGGGCGTTCCCCATATCGTCCCCCTTCTCCACTCTCCGCATCTACAGGCCAAAGACAAGAATGGGCACAACCTCTTGTATCACATTGTGGAACATGGGCTTGAGACTGTGATTAAACGCTTTGCACAGTGGATCCCGGAGAGCTCCATTCCCGACCATGACGGACGGACTCCTCTCCATCATGCGGTCAGGAAAGGTGATGAACGGGTGGTAAAAGCACTGATTGATGCTGGTGTGGATATATCAGCGCAGGACAATAGCGCAAGAACCGCCCTTCATCTTGCCTGCGAGGCTGAGGAAGCTGGGATTGTCCAGTTACTCCTAGACCACGGCGCAGACCCGTCCGCGGCGGATTACAACGGACGAACACCCTTGCATGAGGCGGTTGGACGGGACACAATTATCCTCCAGAAGCTACTTAGAAGAGACGGTGTGGACCTTAATCCTCGAGAGATGCCAAGAGGGCTGACTCCCCTTTTCCATGAAGCTTGGCTGGGTCGAACAGACGCTATCAAGGGGCTTATTTACTACGGAGCAGATGCAGGCATTCGATCAGTGGATGGGGAGACCGTACTGCAGCACGCGACCCTCGGCAATCACGCTGATATTGTGCGGGTGTTACTTGACCATGGTGTTGCTATCAATGCGCGAGATGACCACGGCTACACCGCAGTGTTGATTGCTGCGATTGCCGGGGCAAATGAATGTCTGCGACTGCTCCTGAAGGCTGGGGCAGATATTTCAGTGGTGGATAATTATGGGCGCAACGCATTGCATATAGCAGCTTGGAACGGACGCACTTCCACAGTCCGGCTGCTTCTGAGAAAAGGAGTTGACCACAGGGCTCTGGACAACCGGGGCTCCTGTGCGCTGTGCTGGGCAGTTGAAAGGGGGCATGACGGAGCGATTCGAATTTTGAAACATGCGAGAAAGAACCCAGTTTCGAGGTTTATCGCTACGCTGTCGTCATTCACCTGGCGAGGCAGGGGGAAGAAATTCTACGCTCCGGTGTCCGGTTGTGACGTTGCTCATCGCCATAGTGCTTGATTGAGCGTGCTAGTATATTCAGGACTATTTAGGGTTGCTCATATCCCTCTGTTCTATTTGGCTGTGGCCTATACAGTAACAGAGTTGATGTTGTAACATAGTCAATATACGCAAAGACAGGGGATTAAAGAGACCTTGTTCTCTAAAATATGTACTGTACATACTTGAATTCTATTCATAGTTGACATTATAACCAAGACCAGCGACAAAAGAAGTGGAGAATCTCAGATCATCTCGAGAAAGGCATTAGACAGTACTACTGCTCCTCTTTGGGGGCATCACCATTCCCAGCACCAGTACTAGCCTCCGACTTCTTCCGGATACTCACCCACTCAAGCGAGGCATTCCCCAGAATGGCCAAACAGGCCACGATCAACCCAATCTGGAACACCTTCCGCAGCGCCTCGTTATAAGCCGTCAATACCGTCCCCCGAAGATCCAAAGGAACCAAGCTCAATAGCGATGTCGCACCGCCCGACGTAACAATATCGGAGTCAATTCCTGGAACCCCAGACAGCCTCATCATAAGCTGGTTAGCGAGGACGTTCTCGCCCACAGGGACAAACGCCGCAGCACCAAGCAGCTGGCTGAAGAACATGACTGCAATTCCGACAGGCACATCTTTCGTTGGCAGGACGGTCTGCGCCGCGAGGTTGGGTTGCTGGAAGCACATGCCCATGCCGAAGCCATACAGGATCTGATAGCCTATCCATTTGCCGTGGCCGGTGTGGATTTGCAGTGTTGTAAGGAGCCCGGCGCCAATCGCCATAATGCAGGTTCCGATGATCGCAAAGGGGGTGTAGTATCCGACTTTCTGGGTGGTGATGCCAGTGAGAACTGACGCGACGACCATTGAGAGCATCAAAGGAAGTAGTCTGAGACCCGAGTCCACAGCCGACACGCCTTTGATGGATTGGAACCAGATTGGGAGGAAGTAGACTAGCCAATGTTAGTGTAGGTAGACCTTGGGGTTCTTTTTATTCGTACTGAATATGTATTGCGATGCACCTATACAGATGGTCGCCCACACTCCGGCGAAGATGCTGCGCCGTCTGAAGATGCGCAAAGGAATAGTGGCCGTCCATGTCAGAAGTACCTGAACAACAACAAATCCAAGTAGCAAGACGCCCATGAGGGTCAGTAAGGCGATGATGCGAGAATTATTCCACTGATGCTGTCAGTACCGATGTCAAAATGCTCTTTTCTGGGAAAAACTCACATCATATTTCTGCCCACCCCACTGTAGTGCTAGCACTAGACAGACTACACCGGGGACTAAGCAACACATTCCAGGGACGTCAAGCTGCTTCAGCTTCTCCGTCCATGTAACCTTGGTCGTATTTCTGTCAGGCACTTTGAGGCAAAATGGTATAGCAGCCATCGCCAGGCCCCCAAACGGGAGATTGATATAAAAGCACCATCTCCACGTTACGTGCGAGGTAAATGCACCACCGACCAGCGGGCCTACAATCGAGGCCAGACCGAAGACGGCCCCGAAAAGGCCTTGGATTTTGGGACGCTTCTCGAGGGGAACAGCATAGACGATGCATACAACCTAGACCGTCAGCACTTGCACTTTCAAGGAAAGAGATCACTCACAGATCCAGCAAAGATTCCCGCGGCAGCAATACCAGCGAGGGCTCGTCCAACGATAAAAGCCGTGGAGTTGGGCGCAGCTCCGCAAACGACAGAGCCAACTTCGAACAGGAGGATGCTCCCCAGCATAACTGCTTTTACAGGGTAGAAGGTGTAGATCTTCCCGAATAGCAATTGGAATGCACAGCAGGTCAGCAGATATGCGCTTCCGTACCAGCCGACGTCGGCCAGGGAGTCGAATTCATTGGTGATTTGAGGGATTGCCTTCGCTTAGAGTCAGCTTAATATCCTGTTCGTTATCTTTGTGGCTCACTATACCGTTGAGATGATCGTTCGATCTAGAGCAACCAGAAACATGGTCATCATGATCGAGACAAGAAGAAGTACGACCTTGGTGGTCGATTGTTCTTGATACGTGTCGTCCTCGTCGCTCGTGGCACGCTTGGTTTCTCCATCATCGCAGGTCTCACCGCGCTGAGTGTTGTTCATATCTGATAGATTTGCAGTAGGTTCCTCCTTTTGGGGCGGCCTCGAGCTTTCGGATTCCGTCATGGCCGTGCAAGGTAAGTTTCGGCTCGCAGGCGAGATCTATACTTGCAGATAGGCAGAGAGAACTGAGAGATACCAAGTTGATATATCTATGATCACAGACAAGACCTTCTATTTATATTAGGAGAGCTTTTCTCTCGGGGTTGTTTCGGATGACTCTTGTTAGAGGATGGTCTGTCGGGGGATAGAAAAGCCCGAGATCGCTATACTGGTCGGGTTCAGCAACTCCCGAACAACCACAATACGAGTGAAGTGGTCATACTTTTTTAATTATTATCATCCAGCTACAGAGAATGCTCGTGAAAACAGCTAAAGATTTTGAGATAGGCTGTCCTCATTCCCGGGCTTAAGTTAACCACTATCCATCTCCCCATAGCGAGCCCTACATCATGAAGGAAGCCTCAAACAATTTACCCAAAGTCTTTTGCTACATATCTATTCGCCGTTCACAAGCCCTGAAGGCTTCATTATCGAGTCTCTCAACAAGGTAGTCTACTTCACAACCGTAATAGATTGCCTACTATCGATGATGAAACGAACCTCTCAGCAACAAACGCGGACGACGCAATCGCAGGAATGATATTGTACAGGGATGACTTGTTGAAGGGGAATGGATAGTCGAGAAATTGAATCAGCTGGGATATCGAGCTTTCTGAAGCACGATTTTGCAGATATATGGATTGGCATCCGCCGTAAGTCCATATATCCGTTGGATATTTGCCCTACCGGTGTTTACGGATGTAGTGCGGAGTTATGGAGGTATATCTACGATGAGAGCCAGGAGAAAAGGGAACAATAATATAGACTTCCTCATGAGTACTGAACTCAACTGAATACAATGGCTTCCAAAATCGTCCTCATCACCGGCGCCAACACCGGAATCGGTTTCCAGGTCGTCCGCGCCCTCTGCAACTCCACGCAAACCTACAGCATCATCGTAGGCGGACGATCCCCAGCAAAAGTCCACAGCGCCATTAGTGCCATTCAAAGTGAATTCGCAAACTCCCAAAGCCAGCTCTACCCCCTTCAGATCGACCTCGAATCCGACGACTCGATCAAACACGCCTACGAAGACATCAGCACCAAGTTCGGAAGACTCGACGCTCTCGTCAATAACGCAGGTATGTCTCTTGCCCTCCCTTCTCACTCACACACCCTAACGTCCCAGGCGCGTGGTTCGATGCCCAAGCCAACGGCACAATGACCGAACGCCAAATGTGGACCAAGACCTGGGACGTCAATGTCACGGGCACACACCTCCTCACCTCTGCCCTCATGCCTCTCCTCCTCAGAAGCTCCGACCCAAGACTCCTCTTCGTGACATCTGGCGCGGCAAGACTCGCAGGCACCGACGACCTCCGTCTTTCAATAAACCGGTCCCCACCGGCCGGCTGGCCCAAGCCCGCTGGGACAACTGCCACGGCGTACCGCAGCGCGAAGACGGGACTCAACATGGTACTGCGCGAGTGGGGGCGGATACTCAAAAATGACGGGGTAAAGATTTGGGGGATCGCGCCGGGTCACCTGGCCACTGGCTTGGGGGGTGGCACAGCGGAGGAGATGAAGAAGAACGGGGCGGAAGATGCTTATGTGGCCGGGCCATTTATTCGGTCGGTGCTGGAGGGAGATAGGGATGCTGAGGTTGGAAGGGTGATTAGGAGGGAGGGAGTGCAGGAGTGGTAGGTCCTGCTGAATCTTACATCAGGTTGATAGTTGTATTGATCTGATATGGTGCATCTTGCCTCGGGGCAGCCTGCAATAAATACCATGACAGCAGTGTCAGCACAGCTACAATAGGTTACTTCGAGTAGTATGATGGAAATCGATAGAGATTATTCAAAGGCAAAGAAAGATCAAATCGGGGCCTCAGTCTGAGGCGTGCCGCAGTACGCCATGAGGCACAAGGTCGTAGCCTTACCACAAGATAGACAATTTCCCATTATCCAGTCAGTTTCACCTGCCTCAGCTGGGGTCCTGAAAAGTCCCATAGGTTCTCAACCAGCCGGGCAACTACATTTTCAAATACTGTCTCCTGCATAATTTCGTCTTCCAAGCTCGAATCTACCGCATCTGCGCCAAAGAGACACCATTTTACCACTTGACCGTACCTCAGCCCACTCTCCATTTCCACAACTGGTAGATATCGAGCAGCAGTTTTGAGATTTGCCACTGTCTCCAGAGGATCGGCGTCTTCCGGTGTACGCAATGATTCAAGGTTCCGGCACAGCGAAAGTTCGACGAGAATCAGCCCTAGCGGGAACAGAACTTCGCTCCGTATGAGCGGTGATGAATGCTGGTTGTCCATACTCGGCTCGCCCGCGATGTCACACACAACATAGGGGTGGTCGGATGGGTCGAATATCCCTTTCATGAACATGATGTCCCTTGCTCTCCAATATTTGCGCAGCCAGTTGCCATGGAACTGCAGGACACTGCATGCAAGGTTCACGGCGAGAATTAGTCGATCACGGCGACTGAATATGTATTTACATTGCAGCGGAGGTTGTGGAAATGTTGACGAAGTTGCTATGAGGTCCTCAAGGGATTGTGAATGTGATTTTAGGTCGTCGGCAATGCTCCGGACATGGTACATATGATGCCGGTATCTCTTATCCGCGATGCAGCCAAGGAGTGCTCGTTGTTTGTTATCAAAGTTGACGGCAAATATTGTGGAACAAAGGTCTGATATCGTGGATACTGGCGTCTCGCCTTTACTGCCCAAGGTGTCTGGGGCTTTCGGCTCGGACTGCTTGAGTTTACAGCTTTGGTTCGCTTTTTGTTTACTCATGTCACTCGGTATCAGCTGTGCTCTGCTGTGCGGGGGGCAGGTATAACATGTTGAGTCCGAGATCTCGATTGACTCAGCCTCAACTTCGTGCCAGCAGTCCCTGCCGTCGGCCGAGGTAGAGCCTTTTGTCGATGCAAATGTCATTCGAAATGTATGATTCGACGGCTCTTGTAGCGTGCCAAGCAAGTTCAGTGCTGAGACGTCGAGGCCAAAACGAATAGAATGCCGGTCTTTGCATGGACAATTCCAGCAGTCCCCATTCAAAATGGCGCTATAGAGACTATGGGCCAATTTCCGATGGCTTTTCTGCACTGATAGTGGCTGTCGCAACCTCCATTTGTCGTTGTCCTTCGTGTGGTGCTGAAAGGACTGGTCGACCAGTGTTTTCAGGATGGTATTCGTGGTATGAATACGGCTCAGGAGGTCGGTATATATGCTCTTTGAGAATATATCGCGGAACTTTTTGACACTTCTCTTAATGGAGGATTCTGGCTGAAGCATTGGTCAGTGATAATGGGTCGACTGGTTGACTCAGGGCAACGAACCGACAATGTGCCTCGATTTATCAAGCCCAACCTGTTGGATAAGTCCTCCAATAAATTAGACAACTCCAGTGTTGTCCTCATAAAAGGCTCAAGGCTTGTCCCAAGCCTCTCTTGAAGTGTCTCGTGGATAACCCGTCCCACCCAAGTGTCTGCCTGTGGATTGCTGATCCACGTCCTGATGGTAGATTCATCGTCTATCAGAGTATCGTTTAATGCGAGACCTAACGTGTTAAAGAAAATAATCTGTTGTGTTCCCAAATTAGTGCGATAGCCCTCCAGCTCTCTGAGGTATCTCTTTGCTTTAAAGGTCTTGAGTGTCTCCAAACCCTGCACGTAGTTATCAAGTTGATTGACAAGTAAGGGCAGTAGAGCCAGCACGAGGCCAGTGGCTTCGATTCCAGTCACCATCTTGCCATGTGGGGTTGATAATGACAGTGAGAAAGTCCTTCTAAAAAAGGGGGGTGAGGCTGAAGCTGAGGCTGTCTGTCGAGTATTGGATACCTGCAACTACCCCGCACTAGCAAGCAGCAAGACGTGTGGCTACTTTCATTCACTATTGCTTGATATAGTGGTGAATATCATCCAAACGACCTAAGTAACAAGGGGTCATGAATCTATAAAATGCCCATCTCAACATCGTCGTTCTTTGAGACATGTGTGCAGCAGTTGAGTCAGCTCGTATCATCCGGTCAATTAACGGCATATGAAAACGAGGTACCGGCAGTTCTCTGGCAAGACGAACTCGGTCGACTCCGCATCTGGGCAAAGGAGGCTCAGTTGCCGTCTCTGGAGGTCCGGTTGCGTGATGCTTTTCATATTCGCGAGCAGCTCTTCCGCATCTTGCATCGTCTGCAACGAGCTCTTACCGATGTTCAAGATGTCTTAGATTATAGGCCTGAGGATGCCATGTCTGATGCGGACACCGATGACGATGATCTTGATGGGACCGAAATGCAAATGATATATCATTCTCTGCGTGACACGATCAACGGCTTGTTCGAAATAACGATGGTCATTCTCCGGCCTGTGCTTCACTCATTGGTGTCTGGCAAGGTAGTCGGACTTTCAAGATATGACTTGGTTGAAGAGGCATCTCGTGAGGAACCGGCTATGGAGATTCGTACTGCAGAGCCTCCTCCTGTGGACCAAGAAGCCTCCAAAGAGGCACCGGCCGCAACGCCTATTGAGCCAACCGCAAGAGGTATTGATGGCTTGACCATGGGAGCAGCCTTTGGAGTAGCCCCAGCAGGCTTCCAAGGTATCATTCCAGCAGTCGTAGCAGCCGGACTTGCACAGAGACAAAAGAAGCAGTGGCTGGACTGGTCGAAGAGTTCCTCTGAAGGAGTACCAAGATCGACAAAATCACTCGAGGAAGCCAGTACTCAACTTGAGGAGAAGCTAGGGCAGGATGAAAAACGGCCTGCGAAGTCTCCCTCGCCAATACGGCCGATAGTTGGGGATGTGGTCGCTGCCTCCATCAGCCTCGAACCTACAATACCGGATGATGAAGCGCTCTTGCACCGTCCTCGGCATCCTCGCCCTTCTTCTATCCGCCGGGGTGTTGGCAGTGCTCGAGAAATTGTTATTCATATGCCGTACCGTCGCGAAGGGCCTGAGGACGATGTTGATACACTATCCCTCTATCATGGCGGTATTAGGCACGTGCTGCATTTCCAATCATCCTTCGTAAGTGATGGAGTCCTAGATATCAAGCAGTTGAGGCAACAAGCAATGGAAGTTGCACAAGCCGCCAGCCCAGATTGCATAAAGCTCTTCCACCAGGGCAAGCTATTGGAAGACGACTCGCTCTCTTGCCGAGATGCAGGAATTAAACCACAGTCAACGATCTACTGTGAGGTTCTCGGCGCAGGCGAGTCTCATGACACAAGCGATTCCCGAGACAGACGCAGACAGCATGAGGAGCTGCTTCAATTCGGCAAAGGCAAGACCCAGACTGGGTCTTTGAGCAGAGGCAAAAGTAAAGACAGGACGGGAAATGCTAGCCTTGACCAGTCTGCATTATATTCGCCTTTGCAGGCATCATCTCCAACGCAGGCTCCTGATCTCAGCTCATTCAACACTGCGGCTGAACAAGTGTCGGCCTTGGAATCACACTTTCTGAGAGTGGTGGTACCATTGTGCAACTCCTTCATCAGAGAACCTCCGACTGACAGGGAACTGCGCAAGTCAGAACTTGAGAAACTCAAGCAAACAATCCTAGATCAGGTTATGCTCAAGGCAGTTAGCATCAAAATCTCTAAGGACGATGCCGCGCACAGTTTCCGTTGGAACCTTGTTGAGGAGGCAAAGAAATTGCGGAGCATCCTTGACCGTCAAGCTCTAATTTTTTGGGAATGAAATCTGGTCAGTCCGAATAGCGTACAAGCAACTCACATCTGTTTAGGCATCTCTGAATGGAGCCTAGTGAATACAGTCATTCTCATAGAATCCAGCCTTTAACGAGAACAAAATGACGGATTGTAGACACTCCACCAAGCCTAGGACGGATGTATTTCGATCCATATGGTTACTAGTAGACTTGTTATGATACCTCACTGCGTGTCAACTCTACCTTGTACAGCACTAGAAGTGCATATAGTAGACAGCTCACCGGCCAACGGCCAATGGGCGCTCAAGCCGGTTCCGGCTGGCTAAGCGGAACCGGCACACTATTTAGGGATATAAAGATGCTTTGATATGTCAAAGTACCAGATACATCAAATATCACCCCTGGAAATTTAGTATGGCTGTGGTAGTCCAAGAACTGAATGAGAATTGTGGCCTGTCGGGTAACCAAGGCAATTCAGCTGCTGAACATACAGGTAACTGCAAGCGCAGTGAACCAGAGGGAGGCAAACAAAGAAATCTGGAAGACGAGATTAGTACAATTACTGAAGTTGCTGCTGAACGGCAAGAGAGAAAAGCGGAGAATCCACATTTTATACCAGAGACTGTCAAGGTCACTGGCGTACAAGCTTCCGCGGCTGCAACAACAGCAGACTCCGACACAGCAACAGGGCCACCATACTGCATACTGTCAGAACGCGAAAAGATCTTCATCATACTCTTGGTCTCATTCGCAGCCATTATCTCCCCTATCTCCAGCAGCATCTACTTTCCGGCTCTGAACAATCTCGCAAAGGACTTGAATGTCTCCATTTCGCTTATCAACATAACCATCACAACATATCTGGTAGGCCATCCGCGCATTGACAGGAAGCAGTCAACAGAGCCGTGCTGACACCGGTAGATCTTCCAAGGAATTGCGCCGTCTTTCATAGCGAACTTTGCAGATACCCACGGTCGACGACCCGCCTACCTAATCTGCTTCACCGTATATCTAGCGGCGAATATAGGACTCGCGGTCCAGGACAGCTACGCCTCACTCTTGGTCATGCGTTGCCTGCAAAGCTCAGGCAGCAGTGGCACAATTGCACTGGGAAGCGCAGTCGTTGCCGATCTATCAACCAGAGCAGAGCGAGGCAAGTATATAGGATACGCCAGTATGGGCGTGACCCTTGGGCCTGCCTTGGGACCAATCCTAGGCGGTTTATTGGACCATTACCTTGGCTGGCGAGCGGTCTTTTGGTTCCTGGTCATTTTAAGCGGTGTTCTCGGGACCATCATTGCTATCATCTTGCCTGAAACCTGCCGCGCGGTTGTGGGCAACGGCTCTGTCCCTGCTGCCAGGTGGAATCAGTCTGCATGGCAGAGACTGCGGCAGAAACGGGGAGCTCGAAAGCAAAAGCCAGAGCCGGTCTATCAAACCATCGAGAAACGGCGTCGACGCGCCAATCCGTTCGCATCTGCCCTGATCGCCACCGATAAGGAAGCACTCATCATTCTGATCTATGGCTCACTATTGTTCTCCGGCTACATGGCCGTCTTGAGCACCTTGACCTCCCAGCTGCAAAGCAGATTCAACTTCAACTCCATTCAGGTCGGACTCTGCTACCTTCCAGTAGGCATAGGCAGTCTGAGCTCCCGCTGGACAGTCGGACGAATTCTAGACTGGAACTTTCGACGCGAAGCCCGACGGCAGGGCCTCGCCATCGAAAAGAACCGACAGCAGGATATCCGACATTTCAACATCGAGGTTGCCCGCTTGTCTGTGACGATCCCCCTGGTCTACTGCGCCTGCTTGTGTATCATAGCCTACGGCTGGGTCATGGAGTATAAGACTGCGCTTGCCGGCCCGGTGGTGATGCTCTTCTTCACGGGGCATCTGACCTCTGGGGCATTCAGCTCGGTAAGTACATTGATTGTGGACCTGAACCGCCAGAGTCCTGCCACTGCAGTCGCTGCGAACAATCTGTTCCGGTGTCTGTTGGGTGCGGGAGTCGTTGCGGCTGCGGATCCAGTGATCCAGCACATAGGGATCGGTTGGACAGCCACGCTTATTGCGCTTCTGTGGGTACTTTTTAGCCCGCTTATGTGGGCTGTATTCAAATGGGGGCATGGATGGAGAGAGGAGCGTAGTAGCAACGAAAAGATGGAGGCGAACCCAGCCGAAGAGCTATCCAGACCTGTGGGGGAAGTTCCAACGGCCAAGGAGGGTGTTTGAAGACATCAATTCTCCCCATCGGGCCTCCAGAACTAGAGCAGAAGTAATGGTGACATATAGATTACGGAGGGTGAGATAGACTGTATATGCTTGATTTTAGAAAGTATATTCTCGGAACCATAATAGAATGAGGCTGTTGCTACAGATGCCAATACATTTCTCAATGCAAGTCGATCTCATTAAAACATCAATGGTGTGATTGTCATAGGCTTCCTTCCTGTATCTGGCTCTCTTATTTAGAATCTAAGCCCTAGAAATATGATGTGATAATAGGCCATAATTAGTGCTTGACCTCAGATGATGCCATATTGAGCTAAAAAGGTATAGTTATGCATTTGCATAATATGTAATTTAGCTGAATAGCAATGATGTATTTATGGATATGTCTGAAATTCTTAATAGCAATTTGCTCAACGGTACCAGTACCTGACTATCCGTTAACCAACTATTGCCCAGGAAATTGGGTGGCGTCTCATATAAAGTTTTTGCAAACTTATTCTAGGTATTTTTCCGTGGCGAATCCGATCTCGGGGAAAAAGCTTGATAGGGTAAGCGATTTATCTAGAAAGCTGACTAATACAGGATGAAGAGTCTTGAGACAATCCTAGCATAATAGCAGTTTGCTGATGTCCATTAGGATGGAGATATGAACTATCCTATGCTAGTTGTAGACTTCAAAAGGTCACAGAAGTAAGGACTCTGTAGTTCAGTCTCGCGCAGTCTGGCTGCCATCGAGTAAAACCCTAGACAAAGCAACAGCGGAAAGCATCCGAGAAGCCGCAAAAAGACCGAATATAGAAAATAGTGGCCGACTGTGGAGAAGATAACCACCAATGGCGCGACGGCCACCCCCGATGTCGTGACTGCAGGCTCTAGGCCAGAATACTAAAAGGATTTTCTCCGCCATCTTTCCCCATGGCGAATGTTCTTCTTGAACCTTGACATCTTCTCAATCACTAACTTGGTTGTGCATGTGGGGAGAACACCGCATACCGACGCGAGATGATCTCCCACACCGGCCACAGCTTGGAGAAATCCGATCCCAAGATTGAGGCGGATCGTTCCCGGCCATACGGGGAAGACGTTGCGCCCTATCCTGAGAAGGATGCGCTGCAGCTCAATGTTGGTGGCCGGGGTGCCACTCAGCGCCGCCTGAAGAACTACCAGGTGACGATGATCGGGTTCTGCGGGGGTATTGGCACTGGTCTGTTCGTGGGAACGGGTGCGGCGTATGCTAAAGCTGGCCCTGCTGGTTTGCTACTGGCCTATGCAGTCGTCGGTTTGGTGCTGTGGTGTGTGATGCAGAGTATCGCCGAGTTGGCGACGCTGCTGCCCACCGCCGGATCATTCCCGCACTGGGCGACACGCTTCATTGATCCCTCTGTTGGTTTCTCGCTGGCTATCTCGTACGGTTACTGCTACACCATTGCTATCGCGTCAGAAGTGTCTGCGGCTGCGGTGATTGTCTCCTACTGGACGGACATCACCCCCGCGGTGGTCATCACCGTGGGTCTGGTGCTGATTCTTGCGATCAATCTCATGAGTGTGCGATTCTACGGTGAGACAGAAGTCCTCGCCGGTAGCATCAAGGTACTTTGCTTCGTTGGCCTGGTGATTGTCTCCATCGTTATCACCTCTGGCGGCGGACCGAACCACGAGGCCATCGGCTTCCGTTACTGGCACAATCCTGGCGCCTGGACCAACTACAACGGCATCACCGGATCTACTGGCCACTTCCTGGGCTTCCTGTCTGCCTTTGTCAACGCCTCCTTTAGCTTTATCGGCGTCGAGACCGTCGTCATCACCGCGGCCGAGTCGGTTGACCCGCACCGGGCGATTCCCAAGGCCGCCCGGCGCGTCACCTATCGCATTGCCTTCTTCTACATCCTAGGCGCGTTCCTCATCGGCATGATTGTCGATCCCAGAAACGCCGATCTTGTTTCCGGATCGGGAAATGCGAACAGCTCTCCTTGGGTTATTGCCATTCGCCAGGCCGGCATCAACGCTCTGCCTTCCATTGTCAACGCGTGTATCCTGATCTCTGCCTGGTCCGCGGGCAACTCGTACTGCTGGGTCGGCTCGCGCATGATCGTGGCCATGACGACCGATCACCAGTTGCCCCAGGTATTTGGCAAGGTGACCAAGAAGGGTGTCCCTTATGTGGCTGTTATCGCCGCTTGGCTGTTTGGACCGTTGGCCTATCTCAGTAAGTTTCTTCAACTCAGGTTATATTGCAATGACTAACGGTTTCAGGTCTTGGATCGGGCGGCGCCGCACAAGCCTTCAGCTGGCTTCTGAATCTCAGCACCGTTGCTGGTCTGATCGCATGGGCCACGCTCTCCTTCTGCTACATTCGCTTCTATGCCGCGCTCAAAGCGCAGGGCGTCCACCGCGACACGCTGCCGTGGAAGGGCCCTTTGCAGCCGTATGCGGCGTGGGTGGGATTCATCGGATCCACCATCATCACCCTTGTGGCCGGATTCCCCGTTTTCCTCAAGGGCAACTGGAATACCTCCGACTTTGTCGCTTCGTATATCGGTATTCCTATCTTCATTGTCCCAATCATCGGATGGAAGTTCTGGTACCGTACCAAGGTTCGTCTCAGATACCCTGCATGTCGGGGAGGAAGCTAACAGTTGTAGTTCGCGCGCGCGGCCAATATTGATCTATGGTCTGGCCGTCTCCAGGAGGGAGAGATTATCGAGAAACACAGGCCGATGACATGGTGGCGTCGTATCCTCGATTGGCTTTTCTGAAGTGCTTGTCTTTTGTGTATACTATATAGATGCATAGAGGTGATACCCAATAATGTATAGAACATTTTCCTTGTTGATCGATTACTCGCTTTTGAGCTGCTCCGCCAGTTTTCGAATGTCGTTGTGCGAGGCTTTGCAGCAGCCTCCAACCAGGAATGAAGTAAAGGGGCCCGTAGCGCGAGCATTCGTGACAACATGCGCCAGCTGGGCTTCCCACGGACCCTACTCCGGTCAGAACTGAGTATTCAGAGAGTGAGTAACCACATACCCTTTCATCACTTGTATACCGCTCTCGTTTCTCCCACGTCTGCGTGGTCGTGTTGTAGACTTCCCCATTGGTACCATCCGGATACAGCACCAGACTCGGAACAGCACCTACTTGACCCTTGCCAACAGCACTCGCTACCTCCTCGCCAAACTCACGAACCAGTCCGTCCAGCTTGTAGATCTTGGTGCAATTGATGCCCAAACCCCACGGCACCGCCGCACCGTCCATCTCCGCAAGCGCAGCCTGCACAATCTGCCCGATCGAACTCCCATCAGGCAACGTCGCCCCCTCCCCGGGGAACACACAAGCCACCCAAAACGGAACATCCAAGCCCGCCGCGCGGATCGCCCTCCTCACCGCACGGATCTCATCCAACCGCGGCAGCGTCTCGAACGCCACATACTGCACTCTCTCCGCCAACTTCTCATCCGCCTCGAGGAATAACCGTAGTCTCTCCAGATGCCATTGGAACAGCGTCTCCTCACTATCATGCTCCGCGTCGTATTTCCCGCTGTATTCCTGTCCGGGGATCATGCACGCGCCGTACGGGCCTAGACTGAGTGCGATTTTCGCGGCGGATGGGCACACCCGCGCTTGCTCGGCGACGGCCAGTGCGGTCCGGAGATATTTTCCGATAGCGGGGCGGGGGATGCCATCCGGGAACTCGGGGGTCTTGGTGCGGGCGAACCCTTCGATGGAGACTTGGTAGGTGGCTGTCAGGAGGATGTCGCTGCCTGCTGTTATGAAGTCGCGCTGGCAGGCGAGGAGAGTGGTGGGGTCTGAGACGAGGAGGTGGGATGCCCAGAGGGGGGTGGAGGAGTCAAAGGTGACGCCGTGTTGGTCTTGGAGGGAGGTTCCGAGCCCTCCGTCGAGGATTTGGATTGAAGCCATTGCTGGTATTGTTATAGGGATTATCGATGAATTGGAGTGATAAAATGAGATTAATCCCCTAGGGAGGTAGGACTAGAGCAGGGTGTGGAGGGAAATTGTGGGATCCTTGGCTTATCGCACGTGGCGTAATCTTATCTTATCCACACCACTTATCTTATCTCATCGATGCCTCGTTTCTGCCTTGTTTCTACTACTCCATGCTCAATGCATCATATGATGCATCGCAGGAATTGTTCCCTGTGTTGTATGTACATTCCGTAGCATATTATCCAAACTAAACATGTACGGTGCGGCTAGAACGCGCGTCAGACTCCGCCAGGAAATAGCTATGAAGATCCGTCAGCATCTATGCAAGGAGTTAGACGCTGTCAGCTCTTATGGTCAGACGAATGCAACGTGAGTTTCGGATGAGCCAGTAATCTCTGGCAAATTTTCCATCGGAACTGGTTCACGACAGTGAGTGGCAGCAGTCCCAGGCCATATCAGTCTCGACATTGAGACCTGACTGTTACACAGACTTCGTCCTCGACATATAAATACGCATCGGATTCAGCGAGAAGTGATTGTCTCTCAACCATCTTTACCAAGGTCTATAATCGTTAAAATTCGAACACGAACTCAACATGAAGGTCTTTGCTACTCTTCTCCTCCTGGCCGCCACTGCCACTGCGGCCCTCGCTGCTGTCCCTGCTCCCAATGCTGGCTGCTCTCAACCGGGTCAGTACTGCAACGGGGGAACATTCCTCTGCTGCAACAACCGTCAATGCAACAACAACGTGGTTAGTCCCTCTTCCTCCGGTCAAAAGGGGTGAGACGGTGCCGCATGCTAACTCAATCCCTTTAGTGCCCGTGATCTCCAATCGAGCTAGCGAGGGTAGGCTGCTATTTCACTCAGGGGCCTCAATTTTGTCAGAGCTTCATTATATCATGTTATAGGCCAAGCCTATTGGTGCTTCTTGTTCGCCTGACTTGCAATCGCAAATTTGGAAAACTTGTCTGTTAGCAGTCTCACGAGTAATGCTAGTTGGCTGCCATTGAAGCCCAAATCTCAGCTGCTAGGTTCTCAGGATATGACACTTCCTACACCCATTTTAAACCAAGATCAGCCATTACTCCTGTAGATATGCGTTTGATGAACAGGCATAGTCACTCCACACGACCACAAAAAGAACGGTGTCCTGCATTTCTCGCCATAAGCTCTTGGCTCTGATTTACTCGAGATAATTCTCTTTCCCTAGCGTGTACCATCTTACTCCGTGCCCGGCTGCTTCGCTCTTGATCCCTCTTACGCGTACTCGTCTCATCGTGGCCCAAATGGCTTCAGTCTGCTTAGCATGTCGATCTGGGATGCGCTAGAAGAGCTACTGGTCTCTGGGTGTGGGCTGGTTTCCTTATAATAATGGAGCAAAAGCTCTTTAAGCTGTGGTTGTACGAGGGTGCACGGTAGTTAGAACTAGGAGACCATACGGAATAATATTCGGGGAATTGTCCAGACTTACAGTCTGTACACGGGCATGAACACTTCGGCGGCCAGACTGGTGCTTTCAGCCTGGGTTCCATCCATTGCTATGATCGGCCTTAATTATTGCCCAAATATGAGACGAACAAGATATTGATAAGGACAGGAGGATCGCGCTCTCTCATCTTTCTTCACTGTATACCCTCTTCCCTCCGAACCAAGTCTCGCACACCTTACCCTCCAACAACTCTTCCGCTTCCCACCCCATATCCAACACCACAAAATCCGCTCTACGGCCTTCCTTTAAGCACCCCGTCCACCCCTCTGCAAATCTCGCATACGCCGCCCCCTCCGTCGCAGCCGTGACAGCCTCCGCCAGCCCTAATCCAAAACGTGAATTCGTAGCCGCTGACTCGCCCGGTTCCAACGCCGAACGCCTCGTAGTCGCATTATACAGATTCGGCAACGGTAAATGAGCCGCAGTAGGCGCATCCGTCCCAATTGCAAGCCTCGCCCCTCCATCCACAAACTCGCTATATGCAAAAGCCCTCTGGCACCGCTCACCGATCAACTCCGGCCACGCACGAAACAAAACCGGATCCGAGTGGACCGGCTGCACTGACGCAATTATCCCCAACTCTCCCAACCGTCTTGCGTCCTCGGGGGCAGTGAGCTCTAGATGCTCGATGCGGTGGCGGCGGCCGGGCGTGCCCACCTCAGCTAGGACATCGATGGCTTGCTTCACGGCTTTGTCGCCGATGGCGTGGATGGCGCATTGCAGGCCGGCTTGGTCTGCGCGCTGGACGACGGCTTTGAGCATGTCCGCGGGCCAGATAGGCTCGACGGGGTCGGTAAGGTTGCCGTAGGGCTGGCTGAGCGCCGCTGTGCAGCCGTCTACGACGCCGTCGCAGATGAGCTTTATGCCCATGATGCAGAGGTTGGGTGAGTTGGTGGGGTTGAACTCGGCATGTAGCTGGATCGCGCGGTCGACGTGGCTAAAGTTGGTTTCTTCGTTCTTGGAAAAGGGGACGAGCCAGTATGCTGCGATGTGCAGGGGGGGATTGTGGCGTTGTCGGTAGAGCTGGATGACGTCCCACGTTGTTTCGTCCATGGCCATGTCGACGAGGCCGGTGTACCCTGCTTGTGTATATGCTGTGAAAGCTTGGCCAAGGGCCTCTAGCTTTTCCTCTTGAGTGGTGATGCTTGCGAGAAATGGCCAGACGATGTCGACCACGGCACTTTCGCTCAGGAGCCCCGATGGTCTTCCGGTCTCGTCGCGGTGGATCGTTCCACCAGGTGGATCGGGGGTAGAGTAGATACCCATTTCTTCCAAGGCAGCCGAATTGCACCAGACTGAGTGTAAATCGAGGGATTCAATATGAATCGGTCGCGGGTCCAAGTCATCAAGCATACTTGCCAGAGCGATGCCACTGGTTGTCGATTGAATCCATGCTCGGCAAAGAAGACGAGGAGCGGTAGGATGACTTGCTGCAAATAATCTGATGGCCTTCCGAATGTCCTCTAAACATGTACAGTCCATCAAGTCCAGCTTGCCCAAGGACAGACCAAAGTTGAGGATGTGCACATGGCCGTCGATGAAGCCGGGCACGACAATTCGGCTATTTAGGTCGATTGTATAGTCTCCCAAGGGAGCCTCGTCCTGTACACCCACATAAATAATGTGGTCGTCCTCAATGACCATTGATTCCGCAAATGCATTGTCTGCGTTTAGGTCGTTTGATGAGGGAGAGAATATGCGGCCGTTCGTGAAGATGGTCTTCATGGTGGTTCAGTTCAGCCGTGGTAATCCAGTGAATCAATCTACTATTGCCATATATAAGCAGTTTCCTTTGTGTCATATGTCAAAGATAAGCCTATTCTCTTCCACTTGCCCTTTTGAGCGTTGCTGAACAGGGAGATGCCTTGATATATGTCGGCAATTGTGATTGGCTGATAAGGAATACAATTGCAGGCGGAGAGCCCCATCTTGACCGCGCAAAGTGACGCCATTGGTCAAGTTGTTTCTATATCGCATCATATGGCTTCTTTGATATTCCCAGATGCCCTGTCCAGCAAGAACACACTCCGTTGGCTCGGGAATCGACTCGTGATGTGCCAATCTGGAGCAAGCTAAGTATCTGAGAGCTGGTTGTGTCCATACCGAAATCAGCATGTCCACCCGAGCAGTGCACTCTGCAAAGATATAAAGAGCCTATACGCCCTCACATCTACGTCAATCCTACCCATAGTTGACAGCAATATCTGTAATCATGACTGACAAATGCTGCTCTGGAAAGCGCCGCTCTTCCGCATCATCTACCCACCCGCTAGGTATGCCTCAGATTTCTAGAAGGAGTACGTCATACTAACATGTTAGACCCCCTGTCCGCTGACGAGATTACCACCGCTGCTACGCTCCTTCGCCAACATGCGCACCCAACGGCACTCAAGTTCAATTGCATTACCCTTCACGAGCCCCTCAAAGCCGAGCTGAACGCTTTCCTAAGTGGAACAGGACCCCGTCCTGCCCGTCGTGCTTTTTCCATCGTCCTCAAAAAGGGCACACCCGAGGTATCCGAGGCTATTGTCAATCTGACCACAAAGAAGGTTGAATCATGGACGAGCGTTAAGGATGTGATGCCGACGCTGACCCTGGACGACCTCAACATCATCGAGCACATCGCCAGCAAGGATTCCAGGGTCATTGAAGCATGCCGGGAGATCGGCATTACTGACATGTCTCGGGTCTATTTTGATGCCTGGGCGATTGGGATTGACGAGCGCTGGGGCTTTGAGCGCCGGCTGCAGCAAGCACTGCCGTATTACCGCAGCTCTAAACATGACAATCAGTATGCGCACCCGCTTGATTTTACTGTTGTCGCCGATACAGAAACACAGGAGATCCTCAGCGTGGACGTCAGGCGTGTGAATGGGGAACGTACTCCAGTGCCTCTGGACGAGCATAACTATCTGCCTCAGTTTATCAAAGATCAGTACCGTCCGGAGCGCCTCAAGGCTATTGAAATCACGCAGCCGGAGGGCGTTTCGTTCAAGATGAACGGCAATGAGATTGAATGGGCCGGACTGAAAATGCATGTTGGGTTCAACTACCGCGAAGGCATCGTGTTATCCAACGTCCGGATCGATGACCCGTACGAGAACCGCGAGCGGAAGCTCTTCCACCGGGTCAGCGTGGTGGAGATGGTGGTTCCGTATGGCTGTCCCAAGCCACCGCACCACAAGAAGCACGCCTTTGACGTGGGTGAATACGGTTCTGGGCTCATGACCAACTCGCTCAAGCTCGGCTGTGACTGCAAGGGTGCTATCCAGTACCTGGATGCCGTTCTGGCCACATCGACTGGCGAAGCCACTGTCATCGAGAACGCCATCTGCATCCACGAAGAAGACAACGGACTCCTGTACAAGCATACTGACTTCCGAGACGGCAATGTCATCTCAGCTCGAGACCGTAAACTCATCATCTCCCAGATCATTACCGCGGCAAACTACGAGTACGCCTTCTACCACACCTTCACGCTCGACGGAACGTACAAGCTCGAAGTCAAACTCACCGGCATGCTCAACACCTACTGCCTGCACCCCTCCGAACAAGCCGCCCCCTTCGGCACCGAGATCGCCCGCGGCCTCGACGCCCAGAACCACCAGCACATCTTCTCCTTGCGCGTCGACCCGGAAATCGACGGCCCCAGCAACACCGTCGTGCAGAGCGACGCTGTCCCCATGGCTGACCCCGTCGGCTCCCCCGCCAACCCCTACGGCAACGGCTTCTACGCAAAGAAGACCCCCCTGCGCACCGCCCTCCAAGGCGCAGCAGACTACTGCCACGAAACCTCCCGCGGATGGGACATCACCAACCCCTCCCGGCTGAACCCATCCACCCGCAAACCCATCGCCTACAAAATCCTCAACAACAACTGCCCCCTGCTGCTTGCAAAACCTGGAAGCACAGTCTACAAACGCGCAGGGTTCGCGCGCCATGCGCTCTGGGTCCTGCCCTACCGCGACCACGAGATCTTCCCTGCGGGACAATACGTGTGCCAGTCAACGGGGGAAGAGGACCACCCGCACAACTCGACGATCGTCGACTGGGCGGCGAGGAACGAGAGCATCGAGAATACAGATATCGTGTGTTATATCCAGTTTGGACTGACGCATTTCCCGCGCACGGAGGACTTTCCGATCATGCCGGCGGAGCCGGTGAGTGTCATGCTGCGGGCGTCGAATTTCTTCCAGAAGAATCCGGCGCTGTGGGTGCCGCCTTCGGATGTGGTGAGGGATGTGAGTTCGAGGAATGCAGTCGAGGCGAGGGAGTTGATGGAGACGCCGAGGTTATAGTTCGGTAGAACCATTGAGTCTCCTGTGTTGATGTAGGTTTACAGTCAAGCATGTATTTTCCGATAGAGTGAGGCCTCGGAGTGCCTAAGCTAGAGAGGGACACCAGATGTTGCATAAGTAGCCATGACCTGTTTAGGAAAATGGAGTCATAAAGCACCACTGTTCGATAGTGGTACTTAGCGCCTATCTATATAATAGAGGTGAACAAGTTGGTACGCCGGCAATTGCCGAGCTCCACCGGGCTCGCGTGACTGGCGCGTGGCGATGGAACCGACAGTTAACTAGTTTCCTCCTAACATTTGTTTGGCAGGGAAAACTATTTTCGTTGGTTTCGAATATCCGCAGAAGATGTGTGAGTGATTGATATATATGCCTGCGATGGCAGATTGCACCGCCAGAATGCAAAAGTCCTACCGTCAACCTCGACGGCGGCCAGCTCATTTGCGGACCAAGACTGGATGTTTGACCTGTAAGCTGCCCTTCAACAACACCTTCTTCGAGACTTGCTAATCATTTAGGCCGATCGCGAAAAAGGAAGTGCGATGAGAGGGGCTCGCCTTGTCAAAACTGCCTCAAACGCAATATAGAATGCGTCTGGCCAGGCAGGAGAGCTGGCCATGTCCACGGTCAACTGGCTCATCCTGGAAGTAGCAGCATATCGGCAGATTCCGCCTCAGACACAGAATGTCAACTTGTTTATACTCATACACCATCTATAATCACCTTCTCAAATGGACCAGCGAGCTACTCCTCCGTCCTTACTCCTGCCAACAGCCAGCTATTTAGCTTCTTGCGAACCATTTTCCTGCCACAGCTCATTCATCCTGTAACCAAAGGGGCTGTGAATGAGCTGGTGACCAGGGAAAGCCTTCGATGGGCATTTCAATCTCCTTTCTGTATGCATGCGCTTCTCGCCTGTGCTGCTGCAGAGATACCTGTCAACAATCCGCAGTACCGGCGCATGGCAGAGTTGCATTACATCAAGGCGGTTGCTGGCCTGCGGCAGAGCCTTGTACAAACTACTGACTCCAGTCAATGGACGGTTGTCTTGTGGACGGTGCTGATGTTATGCATTTATGAGGTGAGCAGAAGAAGCAATGTTTCTGATCAAACTAACAATGACAGCGATCCAAACCGCATCACTCGCAAGGAGTGGATGTCCATCTCGCTGGGGCAGCTCAGCTGATTCAGCTGTACTTCCAGAAGAAAACGCCGGATGCAAGCATTATTGCGACAGGTGCCTGGGCCCGCTTATTTCTCGAATCATTCATGTTTCACGTCGCGACAAGTATACCCTTCCAGCTTACATCTACCCAATCAACTACTATCGACTCTGCCTTTTCTCTTGCGGAAAGCATATTGGAGGTTCTTTGTCGACCGCAAATTTCCGTGGATGCTACCTCGCCAGTCCTCGGGGTCCCTCCGAAACTGTTCCAGTACGTCTACACCATTGCACGGATGTACCAACAGTACCCCGATGGCGTTGATATCCGCCATTGCAAAGAGCTGGAGCAGGACCTGAGACGGTGGGATACCTTAATGGCCGTCACAGCAACACCTGAGCTCCTTACAGGCCCTAGATTGTATGTCTTGTGTTCGCGAATCCTTCTCAATCGGCTCATGAATCCCGGCAATCAAACAGACAATTTCGTCGTCAGTGAGCTTGTTTCACATGCCATGGTCCTTGTGACCCGACTGCAGCCAGCACAAGATTACTTTGCCGAGTACTATAGTTGGCCATTTCTGGTGCTCGGGACCTGCGCGGAGAAGCAGTCACACCGGCAGATATTGCTATCACAAATACAAGGGTTCTGGCAGGCGACGAATAATGGCACCATGAAACGGCTGCAGAACATGCTGACGGCCTACTGGACTGGTGGGAAATCAACCGCGCAGAGTAACTTGTGGTTGATCTGAACATTAGAAAGCCAGATCAATAACACCATTTCCCTTTTTCGGCATGGATATCAGCCAATAGCGGTTAAGAATATATAACCGACCAATGGCGGTACATTTAAGTTAAGTGGGCCATATTCGCGGCATTTGTCAGCGCCTTGTCCCCTCGTTGCGATTTGCCGTATCCGATATCCGTACAGCCGTTTTCTATCCGATACTTGGAAGACACAGTCGGCCGAGTATATATATATACTACAGAATCATGTCTTCTCTTCCTTGTCTCGCACTTGCACCTTCTCACCTCTGTCCTAAGGACATTACCTGAAGCAACATGGGTTCCAACGCCTTCCAGTCCCCCGCCGTCACCAAGTCCTCCTTCACCTCCTACTATACTCCCGCCAACAACGGAGGCGCCGCTCTGCACCCCAACGACCCCAAAACCCCCACGCTCTTTCGGCCCTTACAAATCCGCAATGTGACGCTCAAGAACCGCATCATGGTCTCGCCCATGTGCATGTACTCCTGCGAGTCGGACCCGTCCTCTCCCCACGTCGGCGCCCTAACAAACTACCACCTCGCGCATCTGGGCCACCTCGCCCTCAAAGGCGCAGGCCTCGTCTTTATCGAAGCCACCGCCGTGCAGCCCAACGGGCGCATCTCCCCCAACGACTCGGGCCTCTGGCAGGAGGGGACCACCTCGGAACAATTCCTGGGTCTGAAGCGCGTCGTCGAGTTCATGCACGCGCAGGGCGCCAAGGTTGGGATCCAGCTTGCGCATGCGGGCCGGAAAGCGAGTGCCGTTGCGCCTTGGCTGGCGGCGCAGGCGGGCAAGCCGAGTCTCAAGGCGGATGAGAGCGTCGGCGGGTGGCCGGCGGATGTGGTGGGTCCGTCTGGCGGGGAGGAGCATATCTTTAGCCCTGTGGAGGATGCATACTGCGTGCCGCGGGCGCTGAGCACGGCGGAGGTTCGTGAGCTAGTGGCGGCGTTTGCGAAGAGCGCGCGGTTGGCGGTGCAGGCTGGGGTGGATGTTATCGAGATCCATGGGGCGCATGGCTATCTCATCAACGAGTTCCTGAGTCCGGTGACGAATAAGCGGACGGACGAGTACGGCGGGAGCTTTGAGAACCGGACACGGATTGTGCGCGAGGTTGCGGCGGCTATTCGTGAGGTTATCCCCGAGGGGATGCCGCTGTTTCTGCGTATCAGTGCCACGGAGTGGTTGGAGGGTCAGCCTGTTGCCGCGGAGTCGGGCAGTTGGGATATGCAGAGCTCGCTGGAGCTGGTCAAGAAGCTGCCCGAATGGGGGATTGACCTTGTAGATGTCAGCTCGGCCGCGAACCACAAAGACCAGAAGATCAACTTGCACACGGCCTACCAGACGGACCTGGCCGGGCAGATCCGCCAGGCCATCCGAGCGGCTGGAGCGTCGACTCTTGTGGGTGCCGTAGGTCTGATCACGGATTCGGAACAGGCGAGGGGACTGGTTCAGGGAGCGGACGAGGCGACTACAGCCGAGGCAATGCTGTCGGGACCCGAACCCAAGGCGGATGCGATTCTGATAGCCCGTCAGTTCCTGCGCGAGCCAGAATGGGTGTTTTCCACGGCGAGAAAGTTGGGCGTGCCGGTTACTGTCCCGGTACAGTTTGACAGGGCCATTTAATATAGATATATAGACCGGCAGATATATGCGTTTGTCCTATTTCCGGCAGAAAACCCAAGTACTTTTGTAAAATGATAACATCGGAGCCCTCCGATGCACAAATGACTCAGCCAGTTATGCACTGCATTAGTTAACCCCGCCATGACGCCTTAAAGCTCCCCGCAATCCCCCTCTCAGCAATCAGCATTATCGACCGATCATCCTCACATCAATCCCTCATAGAAGATATACTGTCAAGATATCAAAATGGCCCTCAAACCAGGCGACAAGTTCCCCGACAACGTCGTTTTCCAGTCCGTCCATTCCCCTCCCCCATTGACTCCACTAATTCAGCCAGGTACATCCCCTACGCCGAAGAAAGCAGCGATATCAACGCCTGCGGCATCCCAATCAACTACAACGCCTCGAAAGAATGGGCCGATAAGAAAGTCGTCCTCTTCTCCGTTCCTGGTTCGTTTACTTCACCATCAATTGCGAACTATAGATCTAACAGCACAGGCGCATTCACACCCACCTGCTCGGCGAACCATCTACCCGGCTACATCAAGAGCCTCCCGCAGCTAAAGGAAAAGGGCGTGCAGATTGTTGCTGTCCTCGCGTCGAACGATCCGTATGTGATGAGTGCGTGGGGCAAGGCGAATCAGGTCACTGGGGATGATATCGTATGTAATGCAACTGCTTGAAGGGAGATGACTGCTAACAGATGTTGTAGCTGTTTCTGTCTGATCCCCAGGCGAGGTTTTCGGATAGCATTGGGTGGGCGAATGCGGGGCGGACGGGCCGGTATGCGATTATCATTGACCATGGGAAGGTGACCTATGCGCAGATTGAGACGGAGAAGGGGGCTGTCAAGGTATGTATCTGTCTTTGTTGTTGGTGACGAGAGTGCTGATCAGGGTAGGTTTCCGGTGCGGATGCCGTTTTGGCGCATCTGTGATACCGTTGATCGGGTTTAGAGGATTGATAGAGTCGTGTAGTTCTTGATATATCCTGCAACTGCTCATACATTATTGGACGAGTCCTTCGCTGTCGGCCATCTATGATCGAACACTGTACAGTGGGACAGAATACGTGTACGACGATAGGGAGCGCTGTAAGCTATGGATGCATAGCCTAGCTAGAGCATGCAATCAGGTATTCAATGTTAGATCATCATCATGGGTAAATGTAAGTCAGTGGCTCCAGTGCATCGAGGACTGGATACTTGACGGGAATGAGCACCCACGCAGACATTGTAACTTCCAGGCCTGTCATCCCAAAATCTGTGTACGCTTCGGAAGCAATATGCTATGTGTTCTATGCAAAAGCAGCGAATAGTATCTCGATTCAATGGACAAGAAGATTGTCAATCTCTAGATACTGTCATATTATAGTGTATCTTTAATAGTCGATGACTCTAGCAGTAACATACACGCGATGCCTTAAGAATCGGGCAAAATTCTGCATTCGAGCATCGAATAGCCGAGGCCACATTTACAGACTTGTGGACAGACTTGTGGACAGACTTGTGGACAGACTCGAGGTCTATTATCTTAATAACATCACTGAGACACAATTCGACCCGTATCAGATTGAGACGTGCCTCAGATCACGGAGACTTTTGTCGGTGTCGGGGCAATGTTGTTCGGCTGAGTCCACAGTGGAGCAGCGATACTTGAGCTAAAGTAGCTTGAACGAATGGCGTCCTCAATTCAGATCATCTACCCGTCTCCTGTCCATTATTATTATTAGTAGTAGTATGATTGTTGTCGCATCCAGAGCATTCTAAACCAAAGACGAGCCCCGCCGTAGCTGTTCACCAGTGATGTCATCGATGATCATCACGTACAGTATATAATCTACAGTAACCCTCTATCTGCACCCACTGTTAGAAATTGTCACGCCCATCAAAATAATACGCAAAATGGCTCCCAAAGTCCTCATCGTCCTGACCTCTCAGGACAAGATCCCTTCTAACGGTCATCCCACGGGCTGGTACCTGGTATGTAGACCTACACCCACAGAACAAAAGACGCAAAATGACTGATACCTGCAGCCCGAATTGGCTCACCCATGGGAAGTCCTCCACGACAAGACCGAGCTGGTCATTGCCTCCCCCAAGGGAGGTGAGGCACCGCTTGATCCCGCCTCTGTCAAAATGTTCGAGAACGACCCGGTGGCCTCCAAGTTCCTAAACGAGCAAAAGTCCCTTTGGACAAACACAGTCAAGCTGTCCGATGTGCTACCCAAGGTGTCTGAATTCGATGCAATTTTCTACGTTGGTGGACATGGCCGTACGTTCCCTTATTCCTCTTTACAACAGTTGCGGGGCTGACGAAAGTAGCAATGTTTGACCTCGTCAACGACGAAACTTCCATCGCTCTGATCGAAGCCTTCTCCGCCGCCAAGAAGCCCATCGCCGCCGTCTGTCACGGTCCGACCGTCCTGCTCAAGGCCAAGGCGCCGTCCGGTGTGCCCCTGCTCTCGGCTTGCACCGTGACCGGCTTCTCCAATACCGAGGAGGACCAGGCGCAGATGTCGTCCGCGATGCCGTTTATGCTGGAGGACGAGCTGCAGAAGGTGACGGGGAACCGGTATGTCAAGGCCGACGAGCCGTGGGGGGAGAAGGTGGCTGTGTCCAAGGCTGCTGGCACGGGCGCTACAGTGATTACTGGCCAGAACCCGGCCAGTGCGACGGGGGTTGGCAAGGAGATTCTCCGGGCTTTGGGTGTGGCTTGATCGTTTCAGTGTGTACATAATTTGAATAATATATGATTGTTATGACATGGATTAATGCTTAAACTGTCAGGTTACATTCATATCATAAGAAATGCCGGCGGTCTCCGGAGAGAGTTACCCCTCCCTTTCTACATTAAACGTGCAGCTGTCGATCACCAAGTATCTGGCGAATCAGGGGTGGTTCTGGCTGGGCGTGTGCGAGATATGATGCCAAGATCCAGCCGATAAGTCAATCAGATGCCGCCTTTGCCTGAAGATGCATTATCTCTAATATTCGCGACGGGATAACGAGGAAATGTCTCCTCGAATAGAATGCTAGTATGGTATATACAGCCAATCATTCTCAGTACGCGCTTTGAAGATATTGCCAAGACGCCTGGTATGCTGCAGGGGATCCTCGTGAAGATTTGACTGGGTAGGCTGCGAGGGGTTTGGGATGCGAGGTCTCTCGTAAATATGATTTCGAGATATATAAATGGCTTAATCCCGCGATAGACCAGTCTTGCACTTCCTCCACAGCTCTTCAGTATATCGGACAGGCAACATGACTCGCCTTCTCCTCTCAGTCCTCCTGGGCATCCCCCTGGTTGCAGCCATCCCAGTTGCCCTCCCAACTCCCCCTGGAATCCCCTCTGCTGCTACCGCAGAGTCCGAGCTGGCTGCCCTGACCGTCGCGGCCGCAGGCTCCAACGACGGCTACTCGCGCGACCTCTTCCCTCACTGGATTAGCCAAGGGGGGTACGTGCACCCTCCTCTCTTGAAAGGCTAAGCTAACAGCTCAGCACCTGCAACACCCGCGAGGTCGTCCTCGCGCGCGACGGCACCGGCATCGTCAAGGATTCCAGCTGCTATCCCACCAGCGGATCATGGTACTCGCCCTACGACGGAGCCACCTGGACGCAGGCCAGCGATGTGGACATCGACCATGTCGTTCCCCTCGCCAACGCCTGGAGAGTAAGTCACCCTATCCTCCGATGTCAGCACCTGCTAATTGGGAGTAGTCCGGCGCGTCTAAATGGACAACCGCGCAGCGCCAGGCGTTTGCCAATGACCTGACCAACCCGCAGCTGATGGCGGTGACGGATAACGTCAACCAGGCCAAGAGCGATGATGGACCCGAGGCGTGGAAGCCTCCTCTTAGTAAGTTTTTTTTCTCTCTGGTGGATAATGATGCTAACGGGCTAGCTTCGTATTATTGCACGTATGCAAAGATGTGGGTGAGGGTCAAGTATGTGTATGATTTGACCATTACCTCGGCTGAGAAGAGTGCGCTTGTGAGCATGTTGGATACTTGCTAGTGAATGGAACTGTCTGAGATGGGAAGGGTTATCAGCTAGTTGACAGGAGAAAGATATTTTGTCGATAGATTCTGTTGAATTGGACTACCACTTACTGAATGGAGAATACAGCCATTCCTTTATTAAACCTTCCTGTATAGATGATTTGGCCAAGCTAATCAGGATTCTACATATAGAAAATATCTTTAGGGGCCGAAGACGCCAAATCAGGCGATTCTGGTAGCTGTTTTGGGCGGCTTCTGCCGCGTAGCTTTTTGCTCGGTAGGCATGGTTTAACTAATGGTAAATAGAGTCTTATGTCCTAGTTGGTAAGACGTGTAGCCTCTGCTGTCCATCTTGTTCTGGAGTTACTTTGCATGAGAGGTGGGTGCACCTCCTTTGCTGGCGCCTTTTGCGTATTTTCATGACGTCCGGCATTGCTTCTTTGTTGTACGGGGTGAGGCGCATCGTATTCCGACTTTCAAGGGCCATATCCCAAACCAAATCCGCGCATTTATTATATTCGAACCCTTTGGATTTCCAAATCATTTGCGCGAGCTCTTCCTTTTCCCTCTCACTCCAGTACTTGAGATTCTTGACGACTTGTTGCAGGAGAGCTCCAGTAACTTTGTCCCGACTGCTGTGTTTAAGCAGGCTGTTAAATATGCGTAAGGCCTGATCAGGGTCTTCGTTTGCAGACGCTGCTATCAGATCTTTCTCTGTAACACGAATTTTCCGATTGGCTTTGAGAAAAAGGTCGACCAATGATTGTCCACACCAGGCGTTTTTTGTAGCTCTTGTCAGTAGTCTTTGCCAAATTGCCAAGGGAATATCTCTTTGAACATGCCGCAAGAGGACTGACACCATTAGGTCGGCTGCTTCCCTATTTCTGACAGAGGAAAATAACAGCTCCAGTAACTTTTTTGAAGAAAGCTTAGGAACTCTTTTCAAGACTGTATTCATGATGACACCACTCCATTCAGCCGCAATGAGTGGTAGTGCTTCATCATCCACAATAATCCTGTTGTTCTCCAAGAGGCGTCTCATATAAGAATCTGTTGGTTTGTTGCCAAAATGATACCCAAATGAAAATGCCGTCACCAATTCCCTGTTGACTTTAATGGGTACTGTGGAAGGCCAGTGGGGGAGTAATCCACGCGAGATCTGATTCTCATAGCCCCAACTGCGGGTAGCAGCTATAAGTGTATCGGTACTCAACAGTGTCTGTGGCTGAATGTGAGGAGACCCCCAAATCGACAGCACAATATCCATGTCTTCACCGACTTCGAGTGCTCTGGAAAAGTCTTGGGGCCGGACATGCACTTTCCGGTGCAAAAGGGCTTGTGTGGTACGAACATGGTGATGTTTGATTGCTAGACTGAAGCAAGTCTCGTCCTCCTCATTTACATCATTGACATCCAATTTGGGTTGTTTGATAGGTGTTTCGATAATCGAGCTCAACCCCAAAGCACCGACTAAGAACCACGGAGAAGGCGGGGAGCTGAGAACATCAAGGAATGCGCGACGATGGTGCATGTCCAGTTCCTGCATAATCTCAGTACTGAACTTATGGCACTTTCCGTGCCACCATCTATAGCCCGATTGGGTTCCGCGCAGTTGAAGAAATCTTCTGATCAGGTCTTGGAGTTGAGTGTCATCAGCAGCCTTGCTCCCAAGAGACCTCACATACAAGAACCAAAAACATGCACTGTGGATAACAATTGGCCTAATGCAATCAACGCGAGGCTTTTGAGCTATTGCGATGTCACATTTTTCGGTGTTCCTCAGAATCTTCAGGGAGAGTCTCGCCAGGTACAGGTTGCATGTCTCAGCGCTGAACTGGTGTTCTAGGTATTCCCGCGCCGATGGATGGGAAAATAGAAAGACTTCCGTTCGCTGGTCGTAAAGCAAGAAACATGAACAAGCCTTGCTGATGTATTCAATCGTTATGTCCTTGGGGGGCAATTGGATTTTGCCATTGTCTTCGTCCTGGAAAACTGCCGCAATTAGCAGTTGGGATGAAACTCGTACTGGTGAGGCCATCATAAACTTAAAAGCTCTGTGTGCATATTTGCATGTCCGGCTGTCGCCGTTGATTTTATTCATCACCTCATCGTATTTTTCTGCGAGCCCATCAGGCAGCCTTGATATGCAGTCCAGTCTTTCAGAATGGAGGTCACAGTTGAGGATCGAATGGGCCAAAAGGCAGGCTAACAGAATTCTTCGGGTCTGTATTAGACAAGTTTACCACATTGCTAGGGAGGCACCTATCATAACTTACTGTCTATGACTCTTTTGCATAATTTGGTCAATAAATGAAGCCTTATCTTCGTCCGATATAGGGCTCAATAAATAGCCACTTCTTGAATTAAATCTTGCTTGGATCACAGCTCGTTCCTCGTCACTTCGGTCAAGAGTATTGAGGTCAATGCACAGCTTATCTTTCAGCCCCAATCTTGATCTGCTGGGATTCTCTGCTCGAAACTAGCACTCTGAGTTGGTTACACTTGTTCAATAGCTTTTTGATCAACTCAAGAAGGTCACTTTGCAAGGTTGGGTTGAACTCATCCAATCCGTCTATAACTAGAAACGGCTTTGGTTGCTTCAGTAGCACGTCGGCCAGAAACTGCTCCCAAGTACGAACTGAAAACAGCTCTGTTCTGCCCCCTGTCTCCTGACTGCGGCGAAAGGCCTCCATTAACTTGCTCGGAATGTTCTTCTGGTCGATTATAGCAAGCTGCGTCAGGAAACATTGAATAATGGATCGCAGATCCCAGCGAGCGGGCCCATTTCCACTAAAGAAGTACACCACTGTGCTTTGATTATCATCCTGAAGCATTTCAACGATTTGCGAAGTAAGTACTGATTTGCCGGCACCCACTAACGAATTCCGAGTCAGCTGGCCATCGCTTTCGTCCACCCTGACTTCTTTACGGCATTTTACTTACCGATCCCATAGATCCAAAGAACAAGACCTTCCGTGGTAGTAGTCCAATTTTGGAATTGTTGGTGCTCGAAAATCCAATGTCCGGTACATTCTAGGCGTCTGTCCTTCAGACGCTGGAAGTCTTCTTCGTACCGATGATTACAAATGGACTGAAGCATTCTGTTCACCTCTTCATGTCTGCGCTGTCCCTTTTCATGGTTGCTTTTAATTTGACACTCAATATGATGCAGCAACCTGTCGATTTCACCAGCAGCATCCTTCAAGATTCTCGGGAGGGAAATAGAATGGTATATCCTTCTTGCTGGATTTGCGTCACAAAGCAATATGACCTGGGAGATAATATTTGAGAATGGTTCTGTGAAGGTCATTTCTATCCTGTACAACCTCTCCATAGCTTAGGGCTTGGGATTGCTGCGTGTATGAAAGAAGATAACGTTTCGCTTTCTCCATATCCTGGCATACTGATAGCAACAACACCTCGCTCGCAATGGTTATCTTCAGTCATTGTCAGTTTCGTTGTCATTGGAGTTTCCTCAGATTTATGAATTACATCAGCTAGGATTCGGAAGGCAGCCCATGGAAAGCCGGTATAGAGCGGAAATGCAGCTGTAGCGGCTTGTCCGACAGGATCGATGACTCTCGTCCACTCCATGATTCTATATGCAGTAGCTCGAAGTCCGACACATTCTCGCCGATCACACAAAACCTTCAATTTGTTATTCACTTCTTCGACTATTCGCGAGAGTTTCTCGTCAATCGTGCCCGGCGCCCCTATAATATATGGACGGAGTCTGTCCTGTTCTTCACTAGAAAGCTCATAAAGGGCCTCATCAAACGTGAGAAGCCTACCGTATGCTGATATTGATGGGCCATTCGAACAGATCTCAGTCAAGGAGGGCGGGCTATATGTAGACATATCCAGTCAAAGTAATAAATGTCGCAGTCAGATTCGAAATCGGGGTCCGCTGTCAAATTTGGTCATCGAATCTCTGGTATGGTTGGATTATGGCTAAACTTAGACGCCTTCTTATGCCTTGCACTATGCCTTGTCAAATCCGGAATCACCACGTAAGATCAGCCTATAGCTCAGAGGCACAGCACAGCCTCTTCCCCAAAGAATAATTTGCTAGGAATATACGTTTGACAAAAAGCAAACATGGAAAGGCAACAAAGATGGACTATACATCCAAATGACCAAACCAGCCCACTTATCAAAGCCCAAGCAGAAGGATACATAATGTTTATTCAGGTTGCTTTCTAGAAACGTGATGTATCCTTGGAAAAAAGGGATAACTGTTGGGGATCTAAGCACAATGACTCGAGGGTGGCTACTATATGGTGGACAAGCTTGACGCTTTTGGGTGCATATTGGACAGGATATCTGCAATGTATGCCTCTTAAAGCCCACATACGCCAACGAAAATCGGCTCAAGCTCCTCCCTTAACATGCCATCTATCTGCTTGTCTTGTTTGGACGAATTAATAAACTGCTCATGGTGTGCGACTACAGTGTCTGGCCAAAGATGGGGAGTGGTTTCAGTGGAGGAGTATACTCCATAAGCGCAGTACAGATCATATTCCAGATTATATCATTGGACTCTTCGTTGCTGACTACATCACACCAGCAGAATAAGGCTCCGATGTCTCTTCAAAGCCCACGCTTTCAAAGATTCCAGAACCCTGAAGTATAAGTAAATTGCTTGCAGGTCCAGGATTTGCTTCTTTAAGCAGGAGGCCGACTTATTGGGAACATCGGAAACAGAATTGGTACATTCTGATCTTTTGATTGTCGCTTCCTTCCAGTGACATGGTAGTGAACATAGTTGTACCAGATGCAGGGAGAGTGAAACGTGTACTTTCAATTGGGTTCGGACGAAGGACTTTCCGTCTTGTTGAAAGCAGCGTTGTACAACTTTCTTGAAAGTTTCCCTGCAATGATTGGCAGAACCTTTGTTCTACTTCTTGAAGCTGTGGCAGACAAGGCAAACGCCATCCAGTATAGAGCCTTCTGTGGGATCGGGGGGTATGTAGCTTGCCATATACTTTAATGAACAAGTTGCAGAGAAAGCAAGCTAGAACAGCACACTTACCGGGATATATCCAGCACCTTCTTGATTATGCGCAAGGAAAACCAGAGTACCAGCTAACTTGCGCTCCTGGTCAAGGGAGAGAACATACAGCGCACAAGTGCAACTGGACCTGCTTTGCCGGGTCGACACGCTTCGAGGGTTCAGGACCCGACAGTGGCCCGCTGTTCAGCTACTCGGCTTGCAATCACCCCAAAGTTGCAGCCGCGTGGTCGCACAGCCCCGCTACTGGTATAACCCAGGGGATATACTTTGCGGGAGCAAAGTCTCGAGCTCAACATGATGAGGATACCCCTCGTTTCGCTCTGCTCCAAAACCTTCTCAGGAACATGGTTTTACACAAATATTGCATTTTCGGAGACCTAGGGCCACAACGGCGATCCCACAAAGGATGGCAACTGGACCTGTGGCGTCACTAGCCAGCCTGAAAACAGCTAGCAAACCGCTACTGCCAGTTGAAGAGCGGACATGCCGCGGTAGGGGCCAACCTATAGAATATTCCAGTGAGGGACACAACTCATATAGTTCCATTCTCAACAGTTCTGATTCGCCCCAACAAATACCACCAGGACAGCTGCGTATGTTGCAGTCGAAATCAATGTTTCCACATTCGACACCCGGACACCAAGAGCGAGTACCAGCGCAAAGAAAGTAACGCAGATAGATACAGTCACCAAGCTCTTAGTCTGCGACGGGTCCAGAATCATGATAACCATAGGCACCACAAGGAAGATCCCGCCTATTAAGGCAAGGAGAAACCGAGTAAGCCTATCCACAACCGCGGATACCTCCTTAGGGGGTTTCCCTTCGCTATATTCTCTTTCGCGGGAAATACGTTCTTCTCTTGAGAATGCTAGCCAGGCTGGCAGGTACCGCATTAGGGCGCCGCGTAACGGATCGATTCTTTCATCCGCGTCTCGGAAGTAGCAATAGTGGGAGTGGAAAGATTCGTTGACTCTAGCCTGGAAGTACCGTTGTAGAAGAAGCTTTCGTCTCCGTACCTCTCTTGTTTCGACGGGCTTTTTATTCTTTAGATACTGGTAGTTCCGGATCGCTGTCACTATTTTATGTGAGTCAAGCCATTTTAGTTCGTGGGTTTCTTACCATAATCCCGTAGCTTGCTCTGGAGAGTATCCAAATCCTCGATAGAAGCTCGTTTATTATGCTGAAATCGACCTTTTAAGCGGACTAAATCAAGTTCAAGCCGGACGATATTGAGCCTTTGAAGAAATTCAAAACGCAAGAGGTGGAATTCTTCTTCTTCATCTAGAGACCGGTTGATGTACTCCACGAGATCTACCACCTCGTCCAGTGCCATCGTGTCAATCATGATAAGTTGTAGCCGATAGATCTACGATAGTTATAAGTACACTGTCAAGATACGACCAGAGCCGAAGTGGCAGTGTGGGTGGCAGTGTTGGGCTGCGAAGCTGGTCTTACGAAATACCAAAGGTCGCACGCAGAAACAGATCGACATCGGCAGCCGCTCCATGACCACCCCGAGTCCAATGGTTTCTCTTGTACCGCCAGAATCTGAGGTATATCGATGGACCTGTGCTGCGTACTGAGCTAAAGAGCAAGGATGGCCTCAGCCATGATCAAGGTTATCTGCAGCACTCGACTGATTCTAACTGCTCCGCCCCCGCGATCTGGACGACGTGGCAGCCCGCGAGTCGTCGCCGGGTCGACCTTAACCTGACCGCGACCAGACTTAGATGGTCACGAAGAGATGATGGCAGTGCTCCAGGAGGGATGGGACGGTGGGCTTCCATGTCTCGGCCCAATGAGCCTAGATCTGGAAGTGTTCAGAGATTCTCGTTTCGCTCTTTTGTTTGGGACTTTTTGAGTGCTCCTTTTATCCCCTCTATCTACCCTCCATCCCGCCCGTTATAGTCTGACTTTCCGCTGTATTTCCTCAATATACATACTCTCCTATACTGTGACTTGATTCCATATTCCCCCATCCTGTTATTAGCCTCCAAGAGTCGCATACGTTCCCACACCTACACGCTTCCAGCGTTTGAATACTTTAACTGTTCTTCCCCAGAGTCTCACCATGGCGGCCCTTCGGGAGGACGACGATTTGTTCACCAGGGCCATATCGGGCTACCGCAAAGCATTTTTGCTTCGTCATAACCACCTCCCTGAATCTGACCGCAATCAGCTCTGGATTCAACGGCTTAATCAATTCATGCCGGCCTGCAACAACAACAACGACGGCGACGACGACGCCACGCAGGATACAACCCAGCCCACTACTTTGCCAGCGGGTGCCGATACCCCTCTATATAAAGATGTTCGCAGGCATTCCGAGACAGAAAGCCCGGCCAATCTATACAACGACAATGTGTTTCGCAGCCAGCGTCGCAGTACATCAAGGGCAGGATCACAAGCCTCTATGGGTTCAAGGGCGTCACAAAAATCGAGGTTCTCGACAGGATCTCAAGTATCGGATGAGTCGATGGAGCAGGGCCAGTCCGTTTTCCACGCAATGGACGATTTGATCGAGGAGCACCTAAAGGCGATATTCCCATGGCCGCGATTGATGACCTGTAGCGAAAAATCCTATAGGACTGCCGTCAATCGTCTTCTAATCAAGATCCATGATGGTTATGCGCTGTTGGACAAGACCTCGGACATGACAAAAAGTTAGAGGAACCTTCATCGAGAATAGCTTCACTGATCTCCGGGGAAGTGCTACTGACATTGCTCTGACCTAGATGAACGCGATAAAGCCCTTATTTCGTTATACGACGAGATGAAGCTTGCCTTCAATGACCTTCTGTCACATTCCTTAAGTTCGAAGGTTCTAGATGAAGTTTACATCCAGTTTACTGCGCAAATATCAGATTTTGCCCACAGATTGGATCGATGTATGGGTCTGAGCCCCGACGGAGAAGGTAGTAGACCTGTTGACGCCCAGGGTCAGCGCAGAGTCTTGCCATCGTTGCTGGCGCGTGGTAAGCGCAAGTACAGATGTGTCACAGCCAACATAAAGAATACGCTATCTCCCAGAGCCTCCGTGCAACGGCCTATGTTGTACTGCCACCTGTGCAACGACCAGGCCGAAGGCTTTCACGGGGAGCATGAGCTGCGCCGGCACATCGACCGCGTGCACGCGCAGGTGCGCAAAGTCTGGGTCTGCGTGGACATCTCACCGGACAAGACGTTCCTCGCCAACTGCAAGGCCTGCCGGAACGGCAAGCGATATGGCGCGAACTATAATGCCGCAGCGCACCTGCGGCGTGCACACTTTCAGCCGTGTCAGCGTGGACGCGGGGGCCGTGGCAAGGATAGTGAGAAACGCGGCGGGAAGGGCGGCGGCAACCACCCGCCGATGGAGGTACTGAAGCATTGGATGCAGGAGACGATCGAGCGGGCTGACGAGCATTCGGTCGAGACCTTTGGAGCTGACGGTGTTGAGGAGTGTGCTGGGAGTCTGCCGTGCGGACTGTAAGAGCAGTCCGCTTGCGCCTGGGCTAGGAGACGCAAGTGACCCGATCGGATGTGGGCAGATCTAAGGCTGATCCATACTGTAGAAATCATGCAGTATATTTTAACAGACATAAGAGCCAAAGACAGTGAGCAGATTAGTTTTTGTCAGGTGCTCTGCTGAAAGCCAGGTGCATGGACGCAGTCTTCTTCGCATTCAACCGTCTTCCCCTTTCTTAGCCTGCCATCCACCTTCATATTCATTTCACATAACGCGACATGAAGGGGCGTGTTTCCCAGGCATCGTTTTATTTTTCCCAAGGGCCAACAGGGCTAATCCATTTCGACGTGCCCTGCTTGAAAAGATATCGCCCGGCCATCTATGATCTTTTCAAAAAGATTCGGTAATGGCCCTACATGCTTGACTGCCGTCTCGCCAGCGAGTCGCGTACCTAACGAAAGTCTACAGCTACATACCAGGGGGGTACCCTATCATGCGCAAACAGACGGCTGCGGTTCAAAATAACGTCCAGAATAACCGGGCGGACGACGGGTATTTCTAATCGTCGACTGCTGGCTAACTGTTTTATTGTTATATGTAGTCAGCCCAGGCGCAGTCCCATGACTATATATATAGCTATGATTAGACGTAGTAATCTATAAGATATATATATTACAAAGAAGCTTGTTTTCTTTTGCTAAAGGCATAGAAGAGACTAAGTGCCCAAAATACATATCGTAATTATATAAAGGACCTACGCCCATCAGTCTATATACTTGAAGTAGATGAAGGAGGCTGTTAAGGTTGCTATTAGGTGTATAGTTATCATTTACTCTAGGCTTGAAGACTACTACATTTAACGATGAAACAGTTAGCCAGCGGCCAAAAACGGCTACACTTGACGCCATTTTGCTCGACGTCCTTGGCGTCATGTGCAATAATCGCACGCCCAACAGGTTTACCACCACAGCCAATGCTGTTTGGTTTTTCCCTGTTGCTTGTGTTCCTGGTCCCTGACAGCGGCACAAGCAGCAACATTCCAGATATCTTCTCAGATGGCGCTGCTAATGATATCCCAGAGAGTGCATCCAAGCTAGCCAGCAGTAGTGACAATTCTGATAATTCTGACAATAATTCAATCTTAGATGATGACAAGGAAGGACAGGAGCTTCCCACATTACACTACCTTCAAGAGGCTGAGTCTCTCAATGTCTTGCAGCTCTAACAAAAACATTATAGTCCAAAGACCCAGGCTAGATTAGACAATACGCGGGATTACTGGGACCAGTGAGAAGTAATCAGGTGTTTGAACCTTAACACTGATGCTAACAGATGTGTCTTTCCAGGTTCTGCTACAAAGGAAAACACGATCCTGTCAAACATTTTGGCTGGCTCTTTGATTCTGAGGAGATAATCTGATTCCTCAAGGCCTTCTTCTCCTGGCAATGCGGCCGACGACGAAGCAAAAAGGGTCATCAGACACCAGGAATAAAATATATAAAACCTTGCTAGAGATATTCTGGAAATGGTGGCATCTGGTTTACTGTTTGATAGTGAATGCCATCTAGTAGGGATATCAAATGTCATCTAGTATCAATATCGAATATCATCTAGTGTCGATATTGATACTAGATGACATTTGATATCCCTACTAGATGGCATTCACTATCAAACAGTAAACCAGATGCCACCATTTCCAGAATATCTCTAGCAAGGTTTTATATATTTTATTCCTGGTGTCTGATGACCCTTTTTGCTTCGTCGTCGGCCGCATTGCCAGGAGAAGAAGGCCTTGAGGAATCAGATTATCTCCTCAGAATCAAAGAGCCAGCCAAAATGTTTGACAGGATCGTGTTTTCCTTTGTAGCAGAACCTGGAAAGACACATCTGTTAGCATCAGTGT